GAGGGTGGTAGTGATGGTGTATGGTTTTTATTGGGGTTATGGTATGTTAAGGCATGGTGAGGCTGCCAGTTCTAAAAAAAAAGTAGCTGAAAAATATGTGCAGGACTTAAGGGTACATAGAGGCTGAAAAATTAAACCCCAAAAGTGTTCAGTTGTGACAAAACGGGCCTGTTTAGGAAAAAAAATGCCAAACAGGACCTACATTACTCAGGAGGAAAAGGCACTCCCAGGACACAAGCCAGAAAAGGACTTGTTATCTGAAGTCTTATGGAAGGGATTCCCCTTTCCCAAAAACAATAGAACACCTTCATCCTCTGCCCTCCTCAGCTCATCACTCATCAACAAGTCCACAATAAAAGTGTGATATTATTGTTTTATTCGTCTTTGTATCATTGTTTTCTGTGTAGGAAATGTATATTTCATGTAAAAAAATGATTCTGTTTAATCCTTTTGGGTATATGGAACGGATTAATTGGATTTCCATTATTTCTTATGGGGAAAATTAATTCGGATAAAGGCTAGCTCTCTGGAACGGATTAAAGGCGTTAACCAAGGGTCCACTATACATAATCTAACAAACTACTTTCATTACATGCTATATCATTTCTTGTATACTTATTTACCCCTTCTTTTCATTAAATACTTATTACCAAACCTCTTTCTACACATAGTTCAATTAATGGCCCCCCCATTTTCATTTACCCCTGGAAACCCCAAATTTACCTACAAACATTTTTCCCGCTTCAGCATTGAGATCCCCAACCACAAGTACTCTCTCACAGGTTCAAAACTCCCACACACTCAACATTTCCCAAAATCAATAAATCAATAAATGTATCTATCTCTCTCTTTCTCCAGGCACATAAACATTTACTACAATCCACTTTACACATCCAAACCCTTTTTTTTATTCCACAATCCTTGAATTTTATTTCTTCTTTTCCTGCCATAAATTACCCTTCAACATTATTGCTACTCCTTCCTTAGTTCTAACTATTAGAAACCCCTAAACTAATCCCATTTATTTCTCCTCACTGAAACTCTCCTACCCCCTTCAGTTCTGTTTCACTTAGAGCCAGAACAGCCAGCTTCTTTTCATTCATAGCATCCACAATCATCTCTTTCTTATCATTCACACTAAAAATCACGCACATTCCAACATCCCACTTTGACGGTACTTTCTTTTTTTTTTTAAAGCAGGCTATATGGGAAAAGAGGTTACTAGCCTTTTGCTCCTGGCATTTTAGTTGACTTTTACAACATGCATGACTTACAGAGGAAAGATTCGTACTCGCTTCCCCATGGTTTGTGAAAAGCAAAGTAAAAAGAACAAGAACTATTTAAGATAAAATCAAAGAAAACCCAGCTGAGTGTGTATAAATAAACGGTAAAATGCATGTGTAGTGTGACCTAGGTTTAAGTATAGTAAAAAGATGACCCGAAATCTTGCATGTTTAGAAGACAGAAAAAAAGACATCAGCAATCCAAACCATCATGTAAAACAAATACAGGTTTCCATTTTACACTCACTTCGCATATGGTAGGAGATTACCAGTGTTTAAAAAAAGAATCAGCCATTTCCTATGGAGATGACTAAAAAAAACATTCACCATCATTCATTAAATAGCTGTCTTGCCAGATGTGCAATTTCATAATTTTATATTTAAACACAGTTAAATATAAAAGACAAAAGCTAACTAAATCAATTCGTCTGCTTGGATGAAACATATATTATAATCTTACTTTCTGTAGGGCCAACAAGCTTTATGGAATTTTGGCATAAGTTTTGCCTTGCTCTCTGATCCGCACAGCATCACTATAGTGCGGCAGCCGGGCTTCAACATACGAACAAGACCATTGTACGTCTCTCCTCGCAATTATGTACACGAAGTTGGGCTGGGGTTTACTTTCCATTGTGGTCGATGAATGTAGATGCTGAGTTACCTACTCGCCCCTCTTCTAGTTTTCTGCAAAGAGAAATTAACAATTAAAAAGTGTCCCATGGCTCAGTTGATGGGTGCACTCAGCTCATATACCGAGTGTCTGAGGGTCAATCCCCGGTACAAGTGGAAATACTGGGCATGTTTCCCTTACACCTGCTGCCCCTGTTCACTTAGCAGTAAGTAGGTACCTGGTGTTTGCCAACTGGTGTGGGTGGCATTCTGGGGGGTATACCTTAGATAGGGTTAGGCTTTGAAATGAGCTGAGGTAGGATAATAGATCTTAGCCTGTAAAAACTGATGTGAAAAATGAAAAGGTATCACCTAATTAAATTTTAATGTGATATACTAGAGAATTCCAGTGCTACCAAGGGTTAACTAAAATTGGGTGTTTTCTTTCCTGACTTTCTACTTATGACACTAGAGTAACTTGGACTTCATTAAATATTTCACAATGTACAATATCACTGTGCAGGTTGTCTTGTTGACTGTCTTTTTCCCACTACAACAACTTTCCAACTTGTATATAAACCCTAATTAAAACCCTCAGACTTTCCTGTCTTGTTACTGAGATAATATCTACTTTACTTATTTCACACTCAGATTATCAGGCAGATTTTCAAAATATTTTAATTTACTGATGCTTTCACCTGAAGATATTACTCACCCTCACACTTTCACCAGCATGCACGTGCACATGTGCGCGCACACAAAACACACACAATTAATTTCTTGTACAATATTCTCCAAGAATGATCTTGTGCTCTTTGTTTCCTTGTAAAAGCATTTTTAAATTTGTTATTTTTTTTGTACAAGTAATATTCTTTTTATGTCATGGCCTGCCATAGGACTGTCAGCTACAAACCTTCATGTGCTCTAAGACACAACTGTCTTGCTGTCCCTCATCACATGCCCAATACATTAAATGGGTCTCGTATGACAAAGACCTGTGCCAGGAAACTTCCTAACAAATAAACCAGCATCATTCAGTCCCATCATGCAAGAGGCCGGGAGCACTTTGAACACTAACTGCACATGTTCTGACTTCATTATTTACTCCATACAGTACAGACGAGCCCTGTTCATACAGCAATTTAGGTTCTTGACTACTGCTGTAAAGTGAAATGTAGTCTTCTTTGACTTTTAAATGCATATAAAACCCAAGATAGGTAAATATGTTATCATATATTAAATGAGCAATAGTGATTGGTAAATATATTATTTTTTGGAATCTGAATACATGAAGAACGAGCATAACTGAAAACTGCTGTATAGAAAAAATGCTGTAAAGTGAAGCACTGTAAAGTGGGGCTCTCATGGATGTGCAATTATGACAATAATCAGTCAGTCTTACTATTACTTTTATTTTTTTTTTTACCTCCAGCAGAGTGAACAGGTTCAGAAAAGAGCTAAAATATTAAGTGCATATTGAAGAATAAGACACTTGTGCAACACCTGGGTATCTTTATTTGTAGACGTTTCACCATCCACTGGCTTTATCAATACATACATACATGGACATAACGCTTTTATATGGGTGTGAAGCAGGGGTGATGAATGTTGCAGTGAGGAGAAGGCTGGAGGCAGTGGAGATGTCATGTCTAGAGCAATGTGTGGTGTGAATATAATGCAGAAAATTTCGTAGTTTGGAAGTTAGGAGGAGGTGCGGGATTACCAAACTGTTGTCCAGAGGGCTGAGGAAGGGTTGTTGAGGTGGTTCGGACATGTGGAGAGAATGGAGCGAAACAGAATAACTTCAAGAGTGTATCAGTCCTGTATTGGAAGGAAGGCGGGTAGGGGTCGGCCTAGGAAAGGTTGGAGGGAGGGGTAAATGAGGTTTTGTGTGCGAGGGGCTTGGATTTCCCCAGCAGGCATGCGTGAGCGTGTTTGATAGGAGTGAATGGAGAAAAAATGTTTTTTAATACTTGACGTGCTTTTGGGAGTGTGAGCAAAGTAACATTTAGAAGGGGTTCAGGGAAACCGGCAGGCCGGACTTGAGTCCTGGAGAGGGGAAGTACAGTGCCTGCACTCTGAAGGGGGGGTGTTAATGTTGCAGTTTAAAAACTGTAGTGTAAAGCACCCTTCTGGCAAGACAGTGATGGAGTAAAATGATGGTGAAGTTTTTCTTTTCGGGCCACCCTGTCCTTGGTGGGAATCGGCCAGTGTGTTAATAATAATAAAAAATGGACATAATATGGAAATTGCAGAAATATAACAATTTTCATATTATATCCATGAAATGTATTGATAAAGTCATTGGATGGTAAAATGTCTACAAGAAACCCAGATGTTGTACAAGTATCTTCAGTCTTCATGTTGTCGGTGTTGAATACCATTAATACACAAGTACATGTATACCCAGTGCCTCATACATTTCTAGCTTTAATATTAATCTTAATCCATATTTTCATATTTCTTAGTGATTAACAGTAATTCTCATTTACTTAGCCACATAAGGTGCTAAATCAGGTATTAAGGTGTTATACTATTTTCTTTATTTTTTATATTCAGTAGCTCCTTTATTTTCAGCTTTAAAATAATTATCTTAGTCCATACATTCCTCCACCTTGACTACCTCGCATTAGTATTAAGATTAATTAAAGATTTTAATAAAAGTTAACCACTCTTATCTTGTCTAGATTTAAGTAGTTATTATGTACTAGGATTAGTCTGCCCCAAAATGCCCCGGCATGATAGTGGCTTTGTTTATACTTAGCAAGCCAAAACTGTAATTCACACTGTTACCTTTACAAAGAAATAAATCTTTTACTTTTTACATTTTTAAAGTGCATATTGTTATAGTGAGCAACTTACACTAGGTAGGACATGACATATCCACCAGCAATAATGAATGCAACTGTCACCAGGATAGACACCGCAGGAAGCAGATCATCTTGAGTCACATTATCCCTGTAATAAAGATATATAACAGGTGTAAGTCAAACAGCTTTGTTCATCACTAGCAACACATTAGACACAAGCACACACACACACATGTGTATACAACTGTTTACACATACATACATGCATTCAGACTTGATATAAAAATACGTCCACACACACACACACACAAAACCACACAACACAACCCCACACACAACCCCACACACAACCCCACACACAACCCCACACACAACCCCCACACACCACCCCACACACAACCCCCACACCAACCCCACACACAACCCCACAACACAACCCCACACACAACCCCACACACAACCCCACACACAACCCCACACAAAACCCCCAAAACCACAACCACACACACAACCACACACACAACCCCACACACAACCCCACACAAAACCCCACACACAACCACACACAAAAACCACACACACAACCACACACACAACCACACACACAACCACACACACAACCCACACACACAACCACACACACAACCACACACACACACACACACACACACGTACGTACTCATATACAACAGGCCTAGTGTCTAATCGACATGTGCCTAGGACAAAATGGTAACTAACACACACATACACTGCTTTCTTCTCATGATACACTAGTCTCTTAAACAATACATACAGGTGCACCCCTGATTTTTGGGCCACTTCTGGTTCCAAAGCTTTGCCAAATCACGTTTTCCCGAACCAGTGGTCACCTTCAAGATGCTCTAACCCACTAATTATACATTTCCCAAATATCTTTAAAGCACCATCGACTGCTAGAACCTAAATTAAAGAAATATTAAATGTAAATTAAAAAATTAACCCTCTGACTGTAAACAGCCCCAAATCCTAAGTCTCTGTGTCGAAAAATTTTTGAAAAAAAAAAAAAAAAAAAAATTTATGAAATGATAGAGAATCTTTTCCCGATGTAATGATGCCAAAAGTAAAAAATTTGATGGAAAGCTTACGGAATTACTTCTCACGAAGTTAGTGATCTGGGGAGATATTTACACATGGGCAATTTCGCCCAATTTGAGCCCTATTTTCAGCCAATTTCATTGTTCCAGTTGACCAAACCATAGCTTTTTCTTCAGAACTCCATTTGTTCTATTCGACTGAGTACAAGAAACCACCCTTTACTGATTTTAACTACCCAATAAAGTGGTCAGAAATTGGCAATTTGGCCAATTTCATGCAAATTAAAAAAGATACAATTTCAAAACAGGGTCCAGAATGAACAATGCAGACATTCTGGCACTAAAATAATATTTTCTCTGTAATAATGTTGGTAGAATTACCGACAATATGTAAAGTAAAAGGACACAAGTGTAAACTAATGGACATGTATCGTGGCAACGTTTCGCTCTCCAGGAGCTTTGTCAAGCCGATAACTTGAACAACGATAACTTGAACAACCCTGTGTACAACACCGAAATTCCACCAATCATCTCATGAAATTCAGGGAGGGGCCAATTAGTGATCAAAGAAACTAATTTCCGCAGACCAAGTGCCTCGAATCAGCACTGATAGCTGTTTCGAATACAATTAAACAAAATAACGGCAGCTTCACCATCTCTGAAGTCTTAGCGAGAATCCTCCTGAAAACAGTAAACCCTGCCATCACATAGTCTCTCCTGTTATACTACACAAAGCACATTACAGAGTGAACACTGAAAAAGGCCTTCTCTATCCAGTCTACATTTGTCCAACCTATTTTTATGTTACCCAAGTAATAGCTTTTATATCCTTTTACTCATGTACGAATTAATTGCTCTACCATATTGTCACTACTACTACTACCACTAGTGAACATTGAAATGGTACCTCACTAGTATTGCACCTCACTCTGAGCCTTTACATATCCTCTGTGTCCATATACTGTTTGTATTGGCTTGACAAAGCTCCTGGAGAGCGAAACGTTGCCACAATAAAATGTCACATTAGTTGCACTTTTGTCCTTTTACTTTACAATATTTTCTCTGTTCATCAGTCACATATGCAGGTCCCTCTTATATTACTTTTGCTTTCTATTTTGAATTTTTATTCACACAAAAAATAGAAGATTTACTGTCATGCAGACTACTGCATTATTGCAATAATTGTATAAATAATGTCAACCCATTTGTGACAGCATATTACAATGGCTAATTGGACACTCGTTGGACAATGACGTCATTTGTTTACTCTTGAACATTGGTAATAATCGAACATTTCCACTACTTTGAGCTCAATTCAAGATCTTTTTCATCGTGAAACCAATCAAAATCATCTCTTTTTCTGTAACATATCTTCCATTCTATCAAATAAGACAAAAAAATGAGAATACAACCATAAATACTATACAAAAATACACCTCAAAGTCAGCATTTTAATCCAAAAAACATGGTCGGAGATTTTTTCCTCATTATGCACTGCGTGCTGCAGGATTTTTTTTATACTGACCAAACAGACCCATTCTCTCACATGTGGACCTACCAGCTTTCTTCCGCTTGATTTGAAGCCACTAGAATTCTGGAGTATAAATATGTCAAAAACACTGGCTCATGAGATGCATATATACGACCGAAACAGTCAGAGAGTTAACCCTTTGACTGTCTCAACCCCCAATCCTGAGGTGTCTCCTGGTGTCGCAAAATTAAAAAAAAAAAAAAAAAAAAATTATTTTTTCTTATGAAATGATAGAGAATCTTTTCCCGATTGTAATGACACCAAAAAAACGAAATTTGATGGAAAACTGACGGAATTATGCTCTCGCGAAGTTAGCGACCTCGGCGCTGTTTACAAATCGGCGATTTTGCCCACTTTGAGCCCTATTTTCAGCTAATTCCATTGTTCCAGTTTGCCCAAACTCAAAGCTATTTCTTTAGAACTTCATTTTTTCTATCGATTGAGTACAAGAAACTGCCCATTTACTGATTTCAACTACCTAATAATGTGGTCAGAAATTTGCAATTTGGCCAATTTCACGAAAACTAAAAAATATGATAATTTCAAAATAAGGTCCAGAATGAACAATGCAGACATTCCTGGCTCTAAATAACGTTTTTTTTGTTCAAACAGTCACGTCTCCAGGCCCCTCTGATATTACTCTTGCTTTCTATTTTGAATTTTTATTCAAACAAAAAATATTTGACTTACTATTATTGCAGACTACTGCAATGCTGTAATAACTGTATAAAAAAACATCAACCCATTCATGACTGCATATTAGAATGGCTAGTTGGACAATTTTTTGGACAATGGCATCATTTGTTTACTTTTGAACATTGGCAAAAATCAAACATTTCCCCTACTTTGAGCTCCATTTTTTAGGTTCTTTTTATAGTAAAATCAACCAAAAACACCTCTATTTCTGTAAAATGTTTTCCATTCTATCAAATGAGACCAAGAAAACGAGAATACAACCATAAATACTATACGAAAAATAGACCACAAGTCGGCATTTTAATTAAAAAAAAACGGTCGGAGTTTTTTTTTCTCATTATGCACTGCGTGCTCCAGGATTTTTTATATGGTGCACACTGACCAAAACCCGACCCCTTCTCTCACAGTGGGCCTACCAGCTTCTCCTGCTTGATTTGAAGCCGCTAGAATTTATGAGTATATATACGTCAAACACGGCACCTCGTAAAAGTATAAAATACGGCCACGATAGTCAAAGGGTAAGCAAGGTTTTTTTCACAAGAATAATTTTATCAATCTGGAATTCGTGAGCTGTTGTGATTACTGTCTGTTTCCTAGGTGATTATTTCGTCTTGGATTTATGATACTGCAGAATTTCACAAAATTGAGATATGACCCCAAGCAAGTGCTGTGTAAACAAGCCACGTGAGCGAGGCTACACTCAAAGCCATCTGTGGGTTGCCCCGTAAATTGGTCTGGCAGGCATACAAATTTCAAGCTCCCACTTGTAATTGTAATTCTGTCTAGACTAAAGGAAGTGCCAAACCATCTGTTGCCAGAAAATCGGCGGTGTACCTGTAGTCTCTTAACATACAGCTACATTTAGAGAGAATGGATCAAAGTGGAATGACATGGAGAGTGGGATAAATCTGTAGGGGGAAAGGGAAAGGGGGGGTAGGGGTCATCCTCGAAAAGGTTGGAGGGAGGGGGTAAAGGAGGTTTTGTGGGCAAGGGGCTTGGACTTCCAGCCAGCGTGCGTGAGCATGTTGGATAGGAGTGAATGGAGACGAATGGTATTTGGGACCTGACGAGCTGTTGGAGTGTGAGCAGGGTAATATTTAGTGAAGGGATTCAGGGAAACCGGTTATTTTTATACAGCTGGACTTGAGTCCTGGAAATGGGAAGTACAATGCCTGCACTTTAAAGGAGGGGTTTGGGATATTGGCAGTTTGGAGGGATACGTTGTGTATCTTTATACATATATGCTTCTAAACTGTTGTATTCTGGGCACCTCTGCAAAAACAGTGATTATGTGAGAGTGAGGTGAAAGTGTTGAATGATGATGAAAGTATTTTCATTTTGGGGATTTTCTTTTTGGGTCACCCTGCTTCGGTGGGAGATGGCCGACTTGTTTAGAAGAAGAAGAAAAAAAAAAAAGCTGACATATTGCCATAATGATAAAGATATTGTGATGTTCTTTGTGATAATGGTCATAATGGTGGGGGCACTGATGAAAGAGGATTCCTGTGTAGAGCAATTTAGATCCGACTCATCAGAAGTGGTGGATGTGGCAGTGGATAAATGGATTGCAGAACCTGTGCTGATGATTGAGTTGGTGTATAGTGTGGATAAAAATTGAACTTTCAAACTTACGATGTACAACTGCTTGGGTGACCGCTGACACGTCCACTCCCAAATATCTGAATACATTCACCTCCTTCATACTCTCTCCCTCCAATCTGATATTCAATCTTTCATCACCTAATCTTTTTGTTATCCTCATAACCTTACTCTTTCCTGTATTCACCTTTAATTTTCTTCTTTTGCACACTCTACCAAATTCATCCACCAATCTCTGCAACTTCTCTTCAGAATCTCCCAAGAGCACAGTGTCATCAGCAAAGAGCAGCTGTGACAACTCCCACTTTGTGTGTGATTCTTTATCTTTTAACTCCACGCCTCTTGCCAAGACCCTCGCATTTACTTCTCTTACAACCCCATCTATAAATATATTAAACAACCACGGTGACATCACACATCCTTGTCTAAGGCCTACTTTTACTGGGAAAAAATTTCCCTCTTTCCTACATACTCTAATTTGAGCCTCAATATCCTCGTAAAAACTCTTCACTGCTTTCAGTAACCTACCTCCTACACCTACACTTGCAACATCTGCCACATTGCCCCCCTATCCACCCTGTCATACGCCTTTTCCAAATCCATAAATGCCACAAAGACCTCTTTAGCCTTATCTAAATATGTTATATGTTTCACTGTAAACACCTGGTCCACACACCCCCTACCTTTCCTAAAGCCTCCTTGTTCATCTGCTATCCTATTCTCCGTCTTACTCTTAATTCTTTCAATAATAACTCTACCATACACTTTACCAGGTATACTCAGCAGACTTATCCCCCTATAATTTTTGCACTCTCTTTTATCCCCTTTGCCTTTATACAAAGGAACTATGCATGCTCTCTGCCAATCCCTAGGTACCTTACCCTCTTCCATACATTTATTAAATAATTGCACCAACCACTCCAAAACTATATCCCCACCTGCTTTTAACATTTCTATCTTTATCCCATCAATCCCGGCTGCCTTACCCCCTTTCATTTTACCTACTGCCTCACGAACTTCCCCCACACTCACAACTGGCTCTTCCTCACTCCTACAAGATGTTATTCCTCCTTGTCCTATACACGAAATCACAGCTTCCCTATCTTCATCAACATTTAACAATTCCTCAAAATATTCCCTCCATCTTCCCAATACCTCTAACTCTCCATTTAATAACTCTCCTCTCCTATTTTTAACTGACAAATCCATGTGTTGGATGTGAATATTAAATTTCAGGTTGCAGTCAAGATGTGGACCTAAAAATTTGCCCTCGGTGTCTTGTAATGAGGGAATGTTGATCAATATGTTAAGTTGGATATTTGAAGCTCTTTTTTCAAACAGCATATACGAGGTTTTGTCTATACTGAGGGCAAGTTTGTTGATAGTCATCCACATAGATATTTTTAGTAGCTTGTCGTTAAATGTTACTGAGGGTAGTCAGATTTGACTAGGAGACGACCTAAGTAATGGTCCACAAAAGGGTAGAACCTTTGTAGGTCACCCTTCTGCCTGAGGATACATGCATAAAAATATAAAGAATACCAGGAGTCTGATTGTACAGTATTATGTAAATGCAGTCTCCAGCCTAATGCTGTACTTATACAGTGGAACCTCGGCACTCGAACAGCTCCCTACATGAACAATTCGGTATTCAAACACTGTTTGGTTAAAAAAAAAAATTGCTCGGTAGTCAACCGTTTGCTCAGAACTCGACCAAACAAATATGACCTGCCAGAACTTCGCTGTAAAGTATTTCATGTTTCTAAGCATTTTTTTTTTATTTTGTATAAACAAGTCACCATGAGGCCTACAAAAATTAGTGATAACAGTCAACCAAAAAGAAAATTGGTTGGGAAAAATTTGTTCAATACTCCAACAGATCGGCACCTAAATTAAGTTCGAGTACTGAGGTTCCACTGTATACAAAAAACCTCACTTACCTCAAATAGTCTTGTACAGATACAAGTTTATTGATGATTCTCCAAACAATACCCTGTGCATGTTCATCAAACAACTCCTGAAAATACAGTAATGTATATTACTGTGTTATATTAGTGTGTTAAAACATTGGAATCAAGGCTGCAATCACATCAAGGGATGCTTTCCTCACTGACTCTGGTTTGTGCTGTTTCATGGCCTTGTTAAAATCTGGTGATGCCTCCAGACACTACCTTCATAATGCAGGCTGCCACAGTTTCATATGACTCAGTGGTTAGCACAGTGGATATGAGCACAAGTAACCATGGGTTCAATCCCCACTCTTCATATATGCTCTTCACCCTAACAATGCTATGGTGGGGTATTAGACAGCTGGGCCTAATGGTAGTAATGAGGGCTATTGCATGGTGCCCCAGGCTGTGTAGTGAACAGGGCATGAGGTGAAATTTAGGCAGAGGTAAAAGTTGAAAAATGCTACTGCCTAAAATAGAACAACCTGTTGGGGGTCATCCTAGGAAAGGATGGGGGTTTTGTGTGCAATGGGCTTGGACATACAGCAGGCATGTGTATGTTAGACAGGAGTGAGTGAAGACAAATGGTTTATGGGACTTGACGAGCAGTTCAATAACGAGTTAGGTGTCATTTTGTGAAGGGATTCAGGAAAACCAGTTAGCCAGACTTGAGTCCTGGAGGTAGGAAGTACAATGCCTGCATTCTAAAGGAGCAGTTTAATATATCTGCTGTTTAGAGGGACATCTAAAGTGTCGTACTGGAAAGCCTCTGGCAAGACAGTGATAGTGTGAATGATGGTGAAAGTGTTAAAATATTCTCAATATTTAAATTAGATATACAGTGGACCCCCGCATAACGATCAGCTCCCAACACGACCAATTATGTAAGTGTATTTTTGTAAGTGCTTTTGTAGGTGTATTTTTGGGGGTCTGAAACGGACTAATCTACTTCACAATATCTCTTATGGGAACAAATTCAGTCTATAACGGTACCCAAACAGACTTCTGGATTGAAATAATATCGTTATGCGGGGGTCCACTGTACGTATTTTTTTTTAACACGTTGGCCATCTCCCACAGAGGCAGGGTAACCCAAAAAAGAAGAAACACTTTCATCATCATTCAACTTCACCATCATTCACATATAATCATCGTCTTTGCAGAGGTGCCCAGATACAACAGTTTAGATGTCACTCCAAACAGTCAGTATCCCAAATCCCTCCTTTCAAGTGAAGGCACTGTACTTCCCACCTCCAGGACACATGTCCAGCTAACTGGTTTCCCTGAATCCCTTCACAAAATATCACCCTGATTACACTCCAACAGCCTGTCAAGCCACAAAAACCACTTGTTTCCATTAACTCCTACCTAACGCACTCACGCATACCTGCTGCATGTTGTTATGCAGGTTTCTGCATTGTATTTTAATATGAATAGTGAAGTGTGCCATAATTTTATAAACTATGTTATAATTGTAAACCATAATTTTATAATGTTATACATTTGTGGGCACTGTAAATTAGCTTAAACTATAAAACATATGGAGGACAGTCCTGTTGTGACTTATTTTCCAAGTGTGGTGGTACAGCATCGGTGTGTGAGTGAGAGAAGTCATGCTGGAGAGCAGCATGTGTGACAAACATGCTGGCCAGACGCAGTTTATTTAAGGTTAGTTTTGTACTCCTTTTGTTTATCCAACTTAAGCCATGGGTTACTTAAGTGCTTACCAGTAGGCTCACCTGGGCTCTGATTTGGTCAGGGCTCTGTGGGGCGAGTGAGGGGTGATGAAATTGGATGAAATGGTGTCGGTAGGGGAGTAGGGGAGGGCATGGTGCCCACTGGGCACTAACTCCATACTTACATGTGTGTGTTGTTTTGCTTTGATATCGCAGCCTGCTGGCACCTTATGTATCTTTATTTGGGTGTATATGCTGAGTGAAATGTGGGCGTGTTCTTCTAGTGTTTGTATACATTGTTAGAAGTAATAAATGTATATTTTCCTAATGAGGAATTCTGCCTGAACCCTCTGATAACTAAACCACTGGAGTAGTGAATGCTGATTTTGTGCTTTCTGTTTTGATTAGAGTAGTCCTGAGTGACTCTTTTTTACATGATATTCGTGTACCTTTTACCTTAGCCCCTAGACAAGGCCTTAAGCCCCAGGAGCCCTATTTTCTGTGTAACAACTGTCATATTTGCACACCTCTGGTAAGACAGTGATAGTGTGAATGATGGTGAAAGTGTTAAAATATTCTCAATATTTAAATTTTATTAACACATCGGACATTTCCCACCAAGGCAGGGTGGCCTGAAAAAGAAAAACTTTCATCATCATTCACTCCATCACTGTCTTGCCAGAGGCATGCTTACACTACAGTAATAAAACTGCAACATTCACACCCCTCCTTCAAAGTGCCGGCACTGTACTTCCCATCTCCCTTCTTAATTAAATGTTACCCTGCTTACACTCCAACAGCACGTCAAGTCCTAAAAACCGCTTGTCTCCATTTGCTCCTACCTAACACGCTCACACACGATTGCTGGAAGTCCAAGCCCTCTTGCATACAAAACCTCCTTTATCTACTCCCTCCAACCTTTCCTAAGATGACCCCCTACCCCACCTTCCTTCCACTATAGATTTATATGCCCTTAAAGTTATTCTATTTTGTTTCTTCCTCTCTAAATGTCCAAACCACCTCAACAACCCTTTCTCTGCCCTCTGGATAATACTTTTGGAAACCCTGCACCTCCTTCTAATCTCCAAACTGCAGATTCTCTGCATTATATTCATACCGCAGAGTGCCCTCAGACACGACATCTCCACTGCCTCCAACCTTCTCCTTGAAGGTTGGAGGCAGTGAAAGGCTTGAGGTTAGAAGGTTACACTCAAAGAAATCTTTACCTTGATTTTAGGTTGAGAGAGTTGTAATATGACCAATTTGTTTCTGTGAACACTGTGAACACTGATACCTTGGAGAATAAGACATCAGTAGTGTAAATTGAGAGATCATATATACTACCTTTTTCAGATATTTCATAAATGAATTATTAGTTCAAAGTCTAGATGCTATAACTAAGTGAAGGAAGTGCTAAACCCACTGGGGTCATACAGCGCAGACATCATTTACACCTACCTGGACGACAGTTTCAAAGGGCATGGGCTGGTTGGAATGGAGAAGTCTCTGTATGGCTGCTTTAAGGGCTTCCCGCGAGGTGTTGTGCTTGTCTGGCTCCACCTCCCATCCTTCCTCCAACCATTCATATTTCAGGTGATTCTGGTCCTTGCGCCACAGGATCACTATGTGGTGATTGGGTTCTACAGGTGAACCTAAACCTAAATACACAACACAGCTGTAAATGCACACAGTAATATTTTTTATCGTATTACACAATACAGCCTCTCCTCCCTTAACTCTTAAACTGTCCAAATGTAGATCTACGTTTTTTCAACATTTGAAAGTATGTAAAAAAAGTAGATCTTTTCTTTTTTTTACATTTGAAAAAGTGTAAAAAAAACTTTAATCTACGTTTTTTTTTGTTATATTTGAAAATATGTAAAAAAAAAAACCAGATCTACTTTTGAAGCACTACGCATGTGAACGTAGATCTGCTTGGACAGTTTAAGGGTTAACAACAGAGTTCTGTTCCTAAGAACACATTGGTAAACAAATTTGTTGCTAAGTGAGGAACATACTATAATGGTAGTGGGTTTGTGTCAACTATCTTTGATATTGTTTTAATGTCACCTTTGCACCATTTATAATATTTCTGATAAATTTTTAAATATTTATACAGCAGTGTACTGTATATCGTAATAAACCTAATAGAGGAAATCAGCTCTAATATACATTATTTAGGTATGAAAACTGGTCAGAGAGCCCACTTTAAGTCCGAGTCGTCGGTAAATGAGTACATCACTAAGTGAGGAGAGGCTGTATCGCGACTTCAACCAATAACACTAATATTAGGTGAAGAGACCCCACAGAACAAATAACTGCAATTCAAGTTTAAAATTATATTTCCAGTTAATTTTGAGATGTTGAATTCAAATCTGAAATTAGTTTTTCTCCAACTCGTATAGTTTTTGTGATATAGAACCCCAAGATCAACAATTTCACCAAGACGTAGCCATCATGGAGAAGAGATGTCCAGCCAACTACTGCTGGACACAAGTATGAAGGAGCAATACTCAACACAAGCAACAAAGCCTGAAAACTGTGATGTACAGTGGAACCTCAAAAATCGAACTGCTCCCAACTCAACCAATTATGTAAGTGTATTTTTTAAGTGCTTTTATAAGTGTATTTTTGAGGGTCTGAAATGGACTATCTAATTTACATTATTCCTGATGGGAATAAATTCGTTCGGTAGCGACACTTGAACAGCCTTCTGAACCGAAGAAAGTTCTATATTTGAGGTTCCACTGTATATGTTCATACGAGTGTATGTAAGTTTGTTATTTTTGTTATGCATATATATAATGAATTTACATAAAGAAAAATTGCATTAGGTTTTGAGACTGCATGCACTATGCTTAATATCTCTTTGTAATATAATAACTATGATTGTTAAGTAACATACATCATGTTACCTAACATTCAAAATATTGATCATAAGGTGTCAAGAAACCTTATGTGACTGACTAAACAGGATCAAATTTATGATCAGCACATCACTGTTAGCTTAAATCAACCAATTTGGTTTCTTAACTGAATAAAAAGCTAAATTTTATTGGCTAGTGTAATTATTCAAATTATTTTTAAAAGATGTATTATGTACAATCATACCTCAATAATATGGTGTGTTTGGTTCCAGACCTCCGCTATAAAGCAAATATCACCTTAAAGCAAATCACAGCCTTTTTTCCCTTGCTAAGTCATATAAAAGCCTAAAAACATGTTTACACTATCATTTATTAAGTAAGCAATATGTAGCATGATGCCTAAAAAATAATGCAAAAAATAATAAATAAAAAATAAGTTACAGTAGCAAAAGCTATCTTAAGAGCAAAGCAAGCACCAAAAATAATAAGCATAAATATATTTGAGGTTGTCAGTCCCTCAGCCTGGAGAAGAGTGCATTCCAGACCATGGAGTTGAACTCTTCTCCATGCTAAGGGACTGACCACCTCAAATACTATTCCTCCAAGGTTGATGGACTGATTACATCATCTTTATTTCACTACTACACCTGCTGAATCTGTATATGACTGAAGAAGCCTACTGTGTAAGAGAAATGTTTCAACAATGAAGCTACCCAAGTGTTGTACATGTCTTGATCAAGTTTGGTATTTTATACCATCTTTAACATAAAAGAATTTGAAGTTTGGACATCAGGTGGAGTTGCAGAGTTAACCCAATAACCCAAGGAGGGTTATTGAGGTGGTTTGGACATTTAGAGAGGATGGAGCAAAATAGGATGACTTGGAAGGAGTATAAATCTGCAGTAAAGGGAAGAGGAAAAGTAGGGGGTCATCCTAAGAAAGGTTAGAGGAAGGAAGGAGAAAAAAAAAAAAAAAAAAAAAAAAAAAAAAAGTTTTTGTATGCGAGGGGCTTGGACATCCAACAGGCATGTGTAAGCATGTTAAATAGGAATGAGTGGAGGTAAATGGTATTTATGATTTGATGTACTGTTAGAGCGAGAGCACGGTAACATTTATGAAGGAATTCAGGGGAACCAGTTAACCAGACATGAATCCTGGAGGTGGGAAGTAGGGTGCCTGCACTCTGGAGGGGTGAATATATTGCAGTTTAGAGGAGCATCTGAGCTGTTATATCAGTACATCTCTGGCAGGACAATGGGATATGGCTGGTATGTTAAAAAAAAAAAAAAAAAAAAAATCACAGGCAAATATTAGTACTTACCAGCAGTAAGAGCATTCATAAACTCCACTTGCTTCTCTCTGAAAAGGTAAGTATACCGCACACGATCCCTCTCTCTTGCCTGGTCACCAGTTGCATATTCTCGTAACGCTGCTCGGCTAGGATCATGTGCTGGGTCGTCTTGGGTAACTAAGACTACACACAATCGTCGACGAGATCTCACAGTTTCCACAGGACACAGCGCATCAAACACAGACTGAAAATATGTGCTAATTAAATATTCATTCTGTGGAACAAAGCTCAACTGTAAAAGTTTTCTCACCTCAACGGCCATCTCCCGCCAGGGCAGGTGACCAAAAGAAGGAATCTTGTTCACTATAATTCATTCAATCAATTTTTTTCCAGAACTGTGTTGACTTCACATTCCAGATTATTCTTCGACTGCAATATCCCCTCTCCCCCCTCCTTCAGAGTGCAGGCGCTAGCCTTCCCATCTTCAAAAGTGAAGTCCAGCTAACTGGTTTCCCTGAATCCCTTCATAAAAGTTACTTGCTCACAAACCACTAGCCCTTACATTAAAAACCACTTAGTCTCCATTCACTCACAGTAACCCTATGCACTTACAGTGGTACCTTGATTTTCGAACAGCTCCCAACTCGAGCAATTATGTAAGTGTATTTTTGTAAGTGCTTTTGTTAAGTGTATTTTTGGGGGTCTGAAATGGACTAATCTAATTTACATTATTCCTTATGGGAACAAATTCGTTTGGTAATGGCACTCGAAGAGCCTTCTGGAACAAATTAAGGCCAAAATTCAAGGTACCACTGTATTCTAATTCTTATAAATTACAGTAATACTGTAACGGGAATCTAAAATATCAACTTCACCAAAAGTCTACATGTAGTCATTATTTTTATACCACTTCTATTTATATCAAATGGTTCAAAGTACGTTTAAACATCTCCATGTAGGAATAAGCATTTATATAAGATAAATAATATACCTATACAAGCCAAATGTCCCTGCTATTTCATAAATGAAAATACCAAAAATCTCAGGACATTATAACAATTTCAAGTGTTCTCCAATAGCTGATACCAAGTGTATAATCATAGCCAGACTAACACTGAGGCTGGAAGTGGACAGTAACCCCCTCTCCTGTATAAATTACTAAATTTAAACAAAAAATTTTTTTTTCTTTTTGGGCACCCTACTTTGGTGGGATACAGCCAGTTTGTTAAAAAAAATATTGCCTACACTGCCAATGTGTTAAAAAAAATAAAACTTGTTTCTGTCTTTCTTCTGCAGTCTACTGATTAGGTACCCTTCTTTATAACCACTTTGCTCCATTCTCTCTACATGACCTAATAATTTCAAACATCCATTCTTATCACCACACCATTTACTAATTAATTTATCCCTTATTTTCTCCATAATATTCACATCAATGATCAATATTCTTAACCTAAGGTTTGCCAACCTACTACAGAAGATATCAGAAATACTGCTAGAACAAGTGGAGAAGTCTTCAAGAAAAAAAAAAAAAAAAAAAAACAGACTACAACCTCCATTCAAAAGTGCCAGATAAACCAGACTGTGATAGCTATGTGAGCCAGGAACAGCCTGGTTGAACAGGCCATCAGGCTGGTTTGCAAGAATAAAAAAGAAACCTCAAACCAGTTATTGTTTTAATAACGGTAGATTCCCCCCAGCCAGTACCTCGCAAGAGAGTAAGAAATCCTTGCTATCAAATGTCCATCACCTTCTCTATACTCAGAGAAGTAGAGGTTAAAGGCTTTCAACTTCCTCTTTTGCAGAAAAAGAGGAAGCTGAAAGCAGTAGAAATGTCTGAAACTACCTCTTGTTATGTACACGAGTACCTTTTATAACACTGTACATAATTTCTGATTGGGTTGAGCAAGTAACATTTTGGGATTATGGGAAAGCAGCGATTATCCAAATACATTCACTCTAATTTTTGCATTAAAAATTAGGTTAAGATTGGAGCAGTGAGAGTAATATAAATTTTTTTTGGCATTCTATGGTGGGAATCGGCGAGGTGCTTAATTTCTCGTAAGCTTATGTTGTGTTAGGGTAAATATATACAAACCATTTCCTTATTGCCATTCAAAATTAGGATGATAATATTGGCTAAAAAAATAAATTATTCTAAATGGGGAAGTGGCGAAGAGTCCTTCCTCCGTAAGTCATGTGTGTCATAAGAGGAAACTAAAATGCCAGGAGCAAGGGGCTAGTAACACCTTCTCCTGTATAAATTATTAAATGTAAAAAGAAGAAACACTTTTGTTTCTTCTTTTTCGGGTCATCCTGCTTCAATGGGAGATGGCCAGTGTGTTACAAAGTGTCATAATTTCTTTGCCTTTAACAGCATTATTTTTATGAATAGTCTTACATTATCAATGTGTAATTACCAGTCAATGAATTGTTTATCCAGCTGGCACAATGTCAGGATAAGAAATAAGATTCTGTTTGATTTTAACCCAGAGAGTTAGCCACCCAGGATAACCCAAGAAAGTCAGTGAATCATCAAGCAAGGTAGCATTCATGAAAGGATTTAGAGAAAGTGGTTAGTCAGACTTGAATCCTGGAGGTGGGAAGGGCAGCACCTGCAATCTGAAGGAGGGGTAGAGATGTTGCAGTCAGAGGATATTCTGAATTGTGATGTCAGCACATTTATGGCAAGACAGCAACAGAATGAATGAATGCTGGTAAATGTGTTTTCTTTGGGTTACTCTGCCATGGCAAGAGACTGTTGTTGAGGTACAAAAAAATTATCACACTTATTTAAACCTTAATCATGAATCTCACTTGGATTTGCTGCTACCAACTGAAAGGATTTATTATGTTTATAGCACCTAGTTATGAACAGCAGCTATGGGCTTCTATTGGTCTACTGGTGATTGTTGCTAGCCCAGCAGAGGCGAGTGTTAACAGCTTCAACCTCCTCTTCTCTGTAAAAGGACACTGAAGCCATTTCCACTGCCTTCAACTTCCTCCTGCAGAGAAAAGGAGGCTGAAGACAGTAGAAATGCCTTCAACCTTTTCTTCCTAGCAAGAAGGACAAAAAAAAAAAAAAGTCCACATCATTATACTCCAAGTTTCTAACATTTTTTTCAACAAACTGGCCATATCCCACTGAGGCAGGGTGACCTAAAAAGAAAAACTGAAGTTTCTCTTTTTAAATTTAGTAATGTATACAGAAGGGGTTACTAGCAACTTGTTCCCAGCATTTTTGTCGTCTCTTACGACACGCATTGCTTATGGAGGAAGACTTCTGTTCCACTTCCCCATGGAGAAAATTTCTAACACGTGTACTTTTATTTTTGGATCCAATGACAAAACTTCTTAATGCCCCTGCAACTTTCATTTCTCTTCTCTTCTATGTGTTACCTCACCCTTCACAGACTCATTTGCCAACACATCTACTTCCAAGCATCCAAGACAAGACAAGAGAGTTTAGGCAAGTCCCTTGTGGGGTGAGCAGGGAAGACGGGACAGGTGAAAAAAAGCGTAGGGTAGGAGTGTCTTCAGTCGTAGAGAAAGTGCCAGGATTTAACCCAGCAGCTGAGTACTCATGGGGCAGACTGGAGAACAAAAGGAGCAGGTTGTGAATGCATCGGTCTTTGTTAAATGGAAGTCTTGATTCTTGAGTAGCTTGCAACAGGCTTGGTCACAGGAAATGAGGCAAGTGAGGCACCTCATTTGTAGGGGTTATTTAATGTAAAACATTTATAAAAGTGCCATTCTCAAACTTCTTGAAGTTGGCTTGGGAGAAGTGATACAGTTTTCTTTGGTTACCAAAAGTAAAACGGAGTGGTTTGATAAACTGTAGAACTTGGGTATGAGTATAACGAAGTAGAATTTGAAGATATGACTGTGCTTAGTTGAAGACTGTACTAATAAATTACCTGCGAGGAGAGTCGAGGCAACACCAGGAACTTGTTGCCTTCTATAATATCTTTCATAGTGGCATATGGCAAGTCTGTCATTGCCACTGAAGCAACGGGTGTGTGCATGTCTTCATGGAACACAAGAAGTGTGTCCACTTTGTTGGAGACACTATAGCGTGCACGAATGCTGTCCGTATCTGCTCGGTCCATCTGAACATACCTATGGATTCAAGGGTAATACAATAAACTCTTATAAAATGACATCATATTGTGTGCAAAAGTGACTGAAAAAGTGCATCAAAAAATGCATAGCATGCAAATTAACTTTGATAATACATGCCATAAATCTATATAATAGCAAGTGACCTGCAAAATTTGGGAAGTACCCTCCAAAGATTTTCACAATCTGCTCAGCTTCACTTACTACTCAGTGAGAGCAAGTCATGTCCACTACGCAGCATTTTTCTTGTGTATTAATGTTGGTAGAAATGCTGACAATATGTTAAGTAAAAGGACACAAATGCAACTAATTTGACATTTTATTATAGCAATGTTTTGCTTGATCAAGCTACTGAAGAGTGAAACAGTGTCACAATAAAATGTCATATTAATGCACTTGTGTCCTTTTACTTAACAGCATTTTTCTTAAACTATTGTTTTCCAAAATTTACATAATTTATAAATGCTTAATTTACATAAAACAGCTGTCTGATGAGAATATTCAAAGCATTAATACCAATAATCCATAAAAGTTCAGTATGGTACAGTATTATAATTACAGTAATTACTTTTTTTTTTTTTTTTTAAACAAGTTGGCCATCTCCCACCGAGGCAGGGTGACCCAAAAAGAAAATATGTACATGTACTTTCATCATCATTCAACACTTTCACCTCACTCTCACACAATCACTGTTTTTGAGGAGGTACCCAGAATACAACAGCTTAGAAGCATATACGTATAAAGATACACAACATATCCCTCCAAACTGCCAATATCCCGAACCCCTCCTTTAGTGCCTGCACTCTAAAGGAGGGGTTCGGGATATTGGCAGTTTGGAGGGATATGTGTGTATCTTTATACGTATATGCTTCTAAGCTGTTGTATTCTGGGTACCTCCTCAAAAACAGTGATTGTGTGTGAGTGAGGTGAAAGTGTTGAATGATGAAAGTATTTTCTTTTTGGGTTTTTCTTTCTTTTTGGTTCACTCTGCATCGGTGGGAAACAGCTGACATGTTAAAAATAAAAAATTCCCTGCTGATTCTGACTCAGGTTTGACCACAGACAGCAAGTGATGTTAGTGATGTTACCTTCTCTTCCACTAGACAAGACATTATTGGCTCTGCTTGCATAGCTCATACAAAGTGAAAGTTATAAGGACAATTCTTCAAGGGATGCAAAGAGGGAGGAGTATATGGAAAGAAAAAGGAAGGTTAAGAGTGTGGTGAAGGAATGTAAAAGGAGAGCAAATAAGAGAGTTGGTGAGATACCATGAACAAATTTTGTTAAGAATAAAAAAAAGTTTTGGATAGCACAATGGTGATTTCACCAATTTTGAGTCCTATTTTAGGTCAATTCCACTGCTCCTTTTGACCAAATTCTTAGCTATTTTGCTAGCATGCCTTCTGTTCTATTGAGTATGCACAAGAAATTGCCCATTCAACTATTACAACTACCCTATAAAATGTACAGTTTTACACAAAATTAAAAAACCAATTTAAAAATAAGAGTACAATATAAACAATGTACACACTACTGGCACTAAAACAACATTTCCTCTATTTATTAATCACATCCCAGGCCTATCTTATACTGTATTACACTGGCCTTCCATTTTTAATTCAGAATCACACAAAAACAGAAGATTTACTGTATTTCCCAGATAAGAATATAAATGGGGATGACTGGTCATAGTTTACAACATCCCAATAATTGAATTAGACCTATTAATAACCCTAAAACAGATTGGGGTTTGTAGGGGGCCATACCTGTTCTCAGGAATATTGGCAAAAGTTGAATACTTCCGTTAATTTAAGCCCAATTTCATGCTACTTCTGTTCCTGAAAACAACCAAAATTGTCTCTATTTCAGTAGTATGTGTTCCATTCTATCAAATGATGTCAAAATATAGCCAACAGAACCATAAGAACCATCCTAGAAAACACCTCAAATTCTCTATTTTAAACCAAACACATGATCAGTTTTTACTTTTCTCATCATGCACTGTGTGGGGCAGGATTTTTTTATACTGTACACACTTGCTGTGCGAACCTATTCTCTAATATCTAGGCCCAAATTTACTGTTCACAGCTTATCTGAGTGAGATGAGCTCATGATGAACTAAACGAAGGACCCTGGCCTCAATGACAGTTCTACTTGACAGTCACTGAAAGAGCTGAGAGCAAGGGGCTAGTAATATCTTCTCCTGTATAAATTACTAAATATAAAGAGAAGAAAAGCTTTCGTTTCTTCTTTTACGGGTCACCATGCCTCGGTGGGAGATGGCAGACGTGTTAAAAAAAAAAAAATTTTGAGCCCAACAGCAAACAAAGCAATGTAGAAGAAAGAAAATGTCAATACTGCATATTGTAATCCATTTAAGCTACATTATCTTCATTAGCTTGGCTTGACCAAATAATTTACAGTACTATACTCTAATTGTTAAATATGTTTTTATTTTAAGCATATCACTAAAAAAAATATAAACAATTGAGTTTAAGTGCAATGCACTTAAACTCCATTGCAAACTGAGACTAAGTGAAATGATGTACAGCCTCTCCTCACTTAGCGACATACTCGTTTACATATGACTTGGACTTACGGCAGGCTCTCTGACCAGTGTGCATACCTAAATACAGTAGTGCATATTAGAGCTGATTTTCTCTATTCTTTTTATTATAATATACAGTACACTACTCTATAAACATTTAAAAATATACTAAAAATTATATAAATGGTTCCCAGGTGAAATTACAACAACATCAAAGATGATCGATACAAACCCACTACCATTATAGTAAGCTCCTTGCTTAGTGATGAATTCACTTACTGATGTGGTCTTAGGAATGGAACTCCGTCATTACGTGAGGAGAGGCTGTATAATAAAACCACACCTCAATGTCCATCGTCAAACCTCTTTAAAACTTCTAGTTTTGTTTCTAATGTCACACTTCTTTGTTTTTTGTGTCCACAGACATCAGGGGTGCACAGTGCACCTTTAGCACTCATTGCAACAGGGTTCAATCAAGGAATGAATGTTTGGAAAGTGAAAATTATAAGGAGCAGCTCCTACCATCATACAGTTCAATAACAAATATGGCGGACTCACTGAGTGCTTTCATACCGCGCTGTTTATTGTCATTCATTTGTACGATTATTGTATACTTTACGAATTTTTATTTTACTGTCCCCACACAGACAACTGCCCTAGATAGGAATCTATTTTCTTTTCTCAATGTTATAATGAAACAACATTGAATGAAACGACGTTATTTGAGGATTTACAGTACAAGCAGCAAATGTTCAAATGTTTAGCTGATACCACATACCCTATTACAGCTCTTTCTCGGAATTCCCAGCCAACCGTCAGGTACCGCAGTCTGATGATATCCAGTCGTCCGAAGATTAACACACGAACCTTTTGTATAATATTCAGTTATGATCTTCCCATTAATTTCCAAAAATACAATATAGTTATAATACAGAATACAGTACTGAGTTGAACTGTAAAGGTCTCATTATATATTCACTGAATTTGTTACTAAAAGAATGAGAAACTTGTGCAACATTTGGTAATGTTTATTGTGGAAACATTGCCATCAGTGGCTTCTTCAGTCCAGTACAGAAGCCGGTGGCTGGCAAAACATTTCCACAATAAAAATTACCAAGTGTTGTACAAGTGTCTCAATCTTCATATTAGTCTTCTAAACCATTTATGTCACATCACTAGAAGTCCTACAAAACTGGAGCCCACAAATAATATATTGTAAAGATTGCATAATAAATTTAGTTTTAGAGACTTTTTTTTTTTTTTTTTTTTTTTTTTTAACAAGTCGGCCGTCTCCCACCGAGGCAGGGTGACCCAAAAAAAAAAAGAAAATCCCCAAAAAGAAAATACTTTCATCATCATTCAACACTTTCACCACACTCGCACATTATCACTGTTTTTGCAGAGGTGCTCAGAATACAACAGTTTAGAAGCATACACATATAAAGATACACAACATATCCCTCCAAACTGCCAATATCCCAAACCCCTCTTTAAAGTGCAGGCATTGTACTTCCCATTTCCAGGACTCAAGTCCGACTATATGAAAATAACCGGTTTCCCTGAATCCCTTCACTAAATATTACCCTGCTCACACTCCAACAGATCATCAGGTCCCAAGTATCATTCGTCTCCATTCACTCCTATCTAACACGCTCAGGCACGCTGACCAAAATATTTTCTGACCTCATACTTAGTGAAGCTAGCATATATAATCTACAGAAACCATTCGGTGGGAGACGGCCGACTTGTTAAAAAAAAAAAAAAAAATTTACATTTGAAATACACATACATGGAAACACATTCAAACCCTAAATTTTGATTCAATGGTGTAACAGAAGCAGTTTTTTTTATGGAAATCAATCTATACTACCTCAGCTCATTTCAAAGCCCAGCCCTATCTAAGGTAAAGTGCCATCCAGCAGGATGCCACCCACACCAGTCGACTAACACTCAGGTACCTACTTACTGCTAGGTGAACAGTGGCAGCAGGTGTAAGGAAAAATGCCCAAAATTTCCATTCATACCAGGGACCAAACCCCAGACACTCCGTGTGTGAGCCGAGTGTACTACCAATTGCAATTACAATGACTATAATGAGGTCAATAATACAAATGAGAGAGAAATATCTCACGACTCTCAGATCACTTACCCGGTTATCCATCCATCCTCCGAGGAAGCTCTCAAGGTTTTCTTCAGTTATTCTATGCACCAACTTGTTTGGAACTTAGAACGTATGAAATCTGTAAAGAAAAATAATCACTAAGTGGGTTTGGGGTTGAGAAAGACTTGCCTAGCATGGGCCAGCAGGCCTGTTGTAGTGTTCCTTCTTTTTTTTTGATGTTCTTTTTTAAATAAAAGTGTATCCACAAGTACATAACCAATATGTCAGGAAATGTCGAATATCATATCTGTACAAACATGGAATGCTTGATCCTGCAACAACATAAAACTAATAAAAAATAATTCTTATATTAATGCATCTCTAAGAGTATCTGGCAAATTCTAGTTTGCTCAATTCAGATCACTATGCTGTAGCCATATTACAATGAAACAAAAATTTGACCCCTCTCGATGATGACACCTAGAGTATGCTCTGGGGGTCAATGACCCCATGGCCTGGTCCATGATCTCTTTCAATGGCACCTGGAGGATGCTCTGGGGGTCAATGAACCCATGGCCTGGTCCATGACCTCTTTCAATCATGACACCTAGGGTATACCTGGAGGGTACTCTGAAGGTCAATGACACCATGGCCTGGTTCATGACCCCTTTCAGTCCTAATGACCCTCTTAACTGCAAAAAATTGCATTATCCAAAAATTTATAAAAACATTTATTCATTCTGTTGAGTCACTTATGTAACCAGTCAGGTTTTATATTTCATGCCATTGCCACCTAGGCCTTGTGCTACCGCCTGGTGGGCAGAGTTCAAACCTAGAGCTGAGCTCACCAGACCTTGCTTGTCTCACTTTAGCACCAGACCTGTCAGCAGCACGACCTGTCTTTCTTACTCTCTCATCAGGTCATAGGTCTAAGCACAGCAGACCCCCACAATAAGTACATCAGCACAGTACATTAAGTAATAATACAATCTAAAAAATGAAACCAAATATCCAATGAAAGAGCAAAATACTCATTAGAACAAGTGACAGAATGCCCATACAAATCCAAATTTTTTAATTTTCCACTGTATAGCAAGATATCTGTATATTCTAGTATAGGGCTAGAGGCAGGATGGCTACATACACCACTGATCAGCCAACTGCCTCGCAACACCTACATTCATTGACTACAATGTTCATCCACATTGTCATTCGAGCCCACACCAGGAGCTCAGCTCACTGAGCGGTAAATTTGGGCATAGATACGAGAGAATGCATGTATGTGGTAAGTGAGAGTCATATAAAATGGCATAATGAGAAAAACAAAAAAACTGCGACTGTGTTGTTGATTAAAACAGGAACTTTGCTGGGTATTTTTGTATGCTTTTCACAGTTGTATTCATGGTTTCTTGGTCTTTTTGATAGAATGGAAGATATATTACAGAAATAGAGATGATTTAGATTGGTTTTAGTACAGAAAATGGCTCGAAACTGAGCTCAAATTAGTGGAAATGTTCGATTTTTGCCAATGTTCAAGAGTAAACAAATGACGTCACGTGTCCAATACATGTCAGTTGGTGGGTCTAATGTGTGTTCACGAATGTGCTGATATAATTTATACAATTATTACAATGTTGCATAACTGTAAATCTTCTATTTTTTGGTGTGAATAAAAATTCATTATGTGAATAAAAATTCATTATGTGAATAAAAATTCAAAATGAAATTCATTTGTAAAGCCTGGAAAAGTAACTAATAAACAAAGGGAATGTAATTTTAGTGCCAGAGATGCCTGGAATATTTATTCTGAACCTTCTTATGAAACTGGAATATTTTGAACTTTGTGTGAAATTGACCAAATTACCAATTTCCAATTGCTTTCTTGGGTAACTGAAATAGTTGATTGGATGATTTCAATTGATAAAACAGAAGTAATACTAGAGAAGTAGCTAAGAATTTGGTCAACTGGAATAATGTAATTGGTCTAAAATGGGAGTCAAAGTGGGCAAAACACCGACGACTAAATATCGCTGATGCACCAAAATTCTTGTGTAATTTTGTCAATTTTCCATCAAATTTCGTACTATTTGTTTTATTACCTTCAGAAAAAGATTCTCCACCATTTCATAAGAAAAAAACATTTTTTCTGATAATTCTTGGACTCTGTGGACAAGTTTCAGATCAAGGGATTGGACCCTGAAAGGATTAAGATTGGAGACTATGTTGTAAGAAGATGAATTTTGCCTAGCTGTACAGCTTATTTTGACTTGTGACATCTCATACTAATGGATAAAGAAGACCTCTTAGCAGCATCAACAGGAAGAACAAGTGAACACAATTGTAATCTAATAAAAAAAAAAAGCACTGCAAACAAGATATTAAAATTTTTCTTCATTGAGAGGTGGAACAATGGAGTGGTATCAAAGATGATAAAGGGTATAAAATCTAGAAATTTAAAAAAAAATTATACAAAAAGCTAAACACTGAAGGGAATACATCCAAAGCATAGCGCTGTTCCTATAACAGGTACAGTAATCATAAAATAATCTTAACATTAAAATCAAAACTGATGCAAAACTCATGTGGGAAACTATTGTAAATTGTTTACACAATCTTACCTAAAGAAGACACCATGCTGAGTGAGGCATCAGTGTAATGGTAAGGGTGACCATCAAGCAACATCACTAGGTACGGTACTGTCTTCACACCAAGTTTCTTAGCTAGTTCAATTTCTCGACCAGCATGTACCTAAAGTGTTCAACAAGGTAAATTTAAGAATTTGGAAAAAAAAAAAAAAAAAAAAAAAAAAAACTTGATTAAGTGATGCTTATTGGGAATAATCTAAAATATTGGAAATTGTTGGAGGCAAATCATCCTAAGTAAACATTAGTGTTTTAACTCCAGCTAAAATGATTTATGTCACTAAAATGTCAGGCTTAGTCATGAAAAAAATTAGTCCCTATTTTCTGTCTGCACTTCAAACAGTCTTTCCTTTACACAATGTTAAATTTATTGGTGTTATTGTATATAACAACTAACTAAATTTCATTGAATGACATTAATCGTACCTAACTAAACCTAACCTAATATCCTAATGTATCATTCAGAGTGGAGGCACTATACTTCCAATCCCCAGAACTCAAGTCTGGTTAACCAGTTTTCCTAAATTTACTCATAAAGGTTACTTCACTCATACAATGCCAGCACATCAAATCTCAAAAATCACTTTCAACTTCGATCTAGTATGCTTACACATGCCCAATGGATGCTCAAGCCACTATTACCTGAAACCTCCTTTACCCAGTCCTCTCAATCCTTCCTGGAATATTCTTTACTCTTCCTCCTTTCCAACCTCTTGGTTAGCCTTTAATGCTGCACTCTTTCTTAATGACCAAACTCAACAATTCCTTCCCTGCTATCTGAATTATACCACCACTATATCCTCTAATTTCTACACTTCTCTGTATAATATTCACACCATACACCAATCAACTACGTCACCCACACTGCCTTTAAACTCCTTGTTGCAACATTTAAAGCCAGTGCCTTACAACCTGAAAATGGTAGTGGTACTACTATACCCTTTACATTCACTTTTTTCAGCTCACTGATTAACTTCTTTCTTGTCACCTCAACACTCTACTTATATTTTTTCAGTTCACTGATGAACTTTCTTCTTTCTTTCCTGTCACCTCAACACCAACTATATTTTTTTTCAGCTTGCTGATGCACTTCTTTCTTTCTTGTCACCTTAACACTTCACCTACATTATTTTTTTTTGCCCGCCTATACATGATTTACCTTAAATTTCAAAGACCCATCTTCAGATATACAGTGGAACCTCAAATATCGAACTGCTCCCAACTCAACCAATTATGTGAGTGTATTTTTATATGTGCTTTTATAAGTGTATTTTTGAGGGTCTGAAATGAACTAATCTAATTTACATTATTCCTGATGGGAATAAATTCGTTCGGTAATGGCACTCGAACAGCCATCTGGAACAAAAAGTTCGATATTTGAGGTTCCACTGTACTTACTCCCAGATATCAAAATACAATCACTTCCCCCATATGCTCTCCTTCCTGCCTAATGGGCAATCTTTCACTGCCTAAACCTTTTCCTACTCTTATGACTTTTTTCTTGTCTATGTTTAGCTTTGACTTCCTTCTTTGACATACCTTCCCAAATTCCTCTACCAATCATAGTAATTTCTTTTAAGAATCCCCTCATAGGTACCATTTTATCAATTAACAAGGAAAACAAATTTTTAATTTTGCACTACAATAAACATAGAAACTTCAATTCACCTCTCTAAAATTAACCATCAATAATTTACCTTTATCCTATCAAGCATATCTCAGGTCACTCTATATTTAGTAATTATTTCAGGAGAAATGTACTAATTCCTAGGTAGTAGGCTGGTAGTAGACAGCAACCACACAGGGAGCTACTACCATCATGTCCAATGAGTTTAAAACGGAAGCCTGTAATTGTCTTACATGATGGTAAGATTGATGGTGTCTGTCTTGTGTCTCATAAGCATGCAAGATTTCATGTGTGTCTTGCTACTTCTACTTACATTTAGGTCACACCACACATGCATGTACAAGCATATATATACACACCCTCTGGGCTTTCTTCTATTTTCTTACCAGTTATTGTTCTTGTTTCTTTCCTCTTATCTCCATGGGGAAATGGAACAGAATTCTTCCTCCATAAGCCATGCGAGTGGTAAGAGGCGACTAAAAAGCCTGGAGCAAGGGGCTAGTCATTACTAAATTTAAAGAGAGAAACTTTCGTTTTTCTTTTTGGGCCACCTTGCCTCAGTGGAATACAGCCAGTTTGTTGAAAGAAGAAGAAATGTACTAATTATGTGATTCAGTAAATTTTTAATAGATTTGTTTGCCAAAATTATCAATATTGTTGTTGTTGGTTGTGTCTCAAAGCAAATCACCTAACAGGTTTCTCATACAATGATCCTTTCAGTGGTGCTGGCTTTATAGAGGAGAAGCAACAAAATTATTAATTACAGAACAGGTTGGGTTCAAACCCATGGCAGGCATGTCCGAACACTCACAATTCAATTACTCAGATATGGTAAACATGAGGAAATTAAATCTTCATCAGAGTACAAAACAAATTCTGGCCACAAAATAGAGCGAAACACCAATGTCAAAGACCTGGGAGTGATCATGTCGGAGGATCTCGCCTTTAAGGACCATAAAATTGTATCAATCGCATCTGCTAGAAAAATGACAGGATGGATAATGAGAACCTTCAAAACTAGGGAGGCCAAGCCCATGATGACACTCTTCAGATCACTTGTTCTATCTAGGCTGGAATATTGCTGCACACTAACAGCACCTTTCAAGGCAGGTGAAATTGCTGACCTAAAAATGTACAGAGAACCTTCACGGCGCGCATAACAGAGATAAAACACCTCAATTACTGGGAGCGCTTGAGGTTCCTAAACCTGTATTCCCTGGAATGAAGGCGGGAGAGATACATGATTATATACACCTGGAAAATCCTAGAGGGACTAGTACCATACTTGCACACGAAAATCACTCTCTACAAAAGCAAAAGACTTGGCAGACGATGCAACATCCCCCCAATGAAAAGCAGGGGTGTCACTAGCACGTTAAGAGACCATACAATAAGTGTCAGGGGCCCTGAGACTGTTCAACTGCCTCCCAGCATACATAAGGGGGATTACCAACAGACCCCTGGCAGTCTTCAAGCTGGCACTGGACAAGCACCTAAAGTCGGTTCCTGACCAGCCGGGCTGTGGCTCGTACGTTGGTTTGCGTGCAGCCAGCAGTAACAGCCTGGTTGATCAGGCTCTGATCCACCAGGAGGCCTGGTCACAGACCGGGCCGCAGGGGCGTTGACCCCCAGAACTCTCTCCAGGTAAACTCCAGGTAAACTCCAGGTAAGTGTGCTAACCACTGGACTACATGGCTAGTTTCATCTAAGTATATTTCTATATACACAATAGGAAGGTTAGCATGGGCCACCACTGTGACCACAAATACAGGTTTTTAAAGATGAATCCCACACCGGCATGATTGTGGTGTGCTCTAGCTCTAGTCTCTTTAAAGCTGCCGTCATGACTCTCGAAATCATAATAACACACTATCAAACAAATCAAAGAATGGGTCCAGTGGTTAACACACTGACCTGTGAGTGTTAGGGCTCACCAGTCATGGGTTCCAGCTCCATCCATTGTGATTTGTTTGATATCCTGTTATTACAATTTCGTGAGTCATGATGGCGACTTTGAAGGAACTTGAGCTAGAGCATGCCACACCCATGCTAGTGTGGGATTCATCTGTAAAAACTGGCATGTGTGGCCACAGTGTTGGCCTATGCTAACCTCCCTATTGTGTATGGAAATATACCTAATTGAATGTATCCTATTAGGGCTAGCTGGTCCAGGGGTTAGTACACTGAACTGTGAGTGTTAGGAGTCACCTGCCATAGGTTCCAGCTCCACCCATTCTGTGATTTGTTTGTAATCGTGCTCTTACAGTTCTGTGAGCCAGTAATATGATGTCTAAGAACACACATTAAAGTGAGTTATCTTACAGCCCTGTGTTGGGCAACAGCAGTCACACCTGCCTGTTTACTGGTGGTCATGAACTCGGTGGTCTGAGCCCAAAAAAATCAATGCATAAGCCAGGGTCACAAGCACTGGCTTAAATAGCACAATTTACTCTGTATATTAATGTCACAATATCTTAATTATCTTTTAATTACTGAACACAAACCAAATATTTAAAAGATAAACACACCACTATAATATTTAAAAGATAAACACACCACTATAATATGGTACACTCTAACATGTTAAACATAGAAAATATTACTAGATACATGCATAAAAACAAAATGTGCTTGGTTTTCAAACTGGCTACAAATATAAGAAAAATATTTTATGAAGACAGATAATTTGCAAACAGGAACTTCTATGAGATATTTTGCCTGTGGAACAGGACTGAAAAAAAAAAAGCCTGAATCATAAGCAAAAAATTTCAATAAAGATCCTTTTTGCCCAATGTATCTGTCATCTCAATGCATTCTCCAAAATAGTGTAGCCCATTACTAAAATATTAATATGTATCCACCAACAAAACAGAATTCATCCTCCGAAAGCCATGCGTGTCGTATGAGGTGACTAAAATGCCGGGAGCAAGAAGCTTGTAACCCCCTTCTCCTGTATACATTACTAAATTTAAAAAGAGAAACTTTCGTTTTCTTTTTAGGTCACCCTGCCTCGGTGGGAAACGGCCAGTTCTTTGAAAAAAAAAAAAACTCCACCAACCAAACACAATTCTTCCTCCATAAGCCATGCATGTCACAAGAGGTGACTAAAATGCTGGGAGAAAGGGGCTAGTAACCCCTTCTCATGCATACGTACACTACTAAATTTAGAGAGAGAAACTTTGGCTTCTGTTTTCGGGTGAACCCAAGCCTGGCCCATGGCCAGGCTCCAAGAGTAGTGAGACACTCGAAACTCATCAAAGGTATAAAGGTACCCTGCCTTGGTGGGAAATGGCCAGTTTGTTGAAAAAAAAAATCCACCAGCTACTGTAAAATAATATGTATAAGCACAAGGAATAAGATCATTCCACAGAGAATTTGATTCCTCTATGACATTGTCATGAACCATCTTTGTATCCATTTCCTCCTCAAAAACGCGCGCGCGCGCGTGCGTGTGTGTGTGTGTGTGTGTGTGTGTGTGTGTGTGTGTGTGTGTGTGTGTGTGTGTGTGTGTGTGTGTGTGTGTGTGTGTGTGTGTGTGTGTGTGTGTGTGTGTGTGTGTGTGTGTGTGTGTGTGTGTGTGTGTGTGTGTGTGTGTGTGTGTGTGTGTGTGTGTGTGTGTGTGTTTGTTTGTTTAACTGAATCTGCTGGCCTAATATTATTGTAAGATCTATGTACAATTTTAAAAATATGAATTACCTGGAACTATTGATGTACAGTGGAACCTCGGTATTCAAACAGCTCCCTACTCGAACAGAGCTCGGCACTCGACCAAACAAACACGACCTGCCAGAACTTTGCCATAAACTATTTCATGTTTCTTCGCATTTTTTGGTGTTTTTTTTATATTATTTGTATAACTAAGTCACCATGGGGCCTACGAAGATAAGTGATAACAGTCAACCAAAAAGAAAATTGGTTGGGAAGAATTCGTTAGATACCTGAACGGATCGGCACTCGAACAGCCTTGTGAAACAAATTAAGTTCGAGGAAATATTATTTATTTTTCTTTTCATTTATTTGCTGTTAGAAAGTGTCATGTCAGGAGTCCTGTCAGAAGGACTCCTGTTTGGAAGTGTCTAGCCTAAACTATAGGAAAATACATTTTTTTTTAAATAAGCTGGCTGTTCCCCACTGAGGCAGGGCAACCCAAAAAAAGAAAGAAAAATTTTCATCATTCATACATAATCAGTCTTTGTAGAGGTACCCAGATACAACAGTTTAGATGTCACTCCAAACAGTCAATATTCCAAACCACTCCCTTAAAGTGCAGGCATTGTACTTCCTATCTCCAGGACTCAAGTCCAGCTAACTGGTTTCCCTGAATCCCTTTACAAAATATTACCCTGCTCACACTCCAACAGCTTGTCAGGCTCCAAAAACCATTCGTCTCCATTCACTCCTACCTAATACACTCATGCAACCTTGCTGGAAGTCCAAGCCCCTCGCCCACAAAACCTCCTGTACCCCCTCCCTCCAACCTAAATGAAGAGCTAAAATTAAAGTTTCACAGGAGGTAGGAAAAACCTGAACTCTCTTTAAAACATTTAATGCAGCTTAATGCCTACCTTGAATTTGAAGAGGAAACATTAGACAGTATTTCAGTCCCTCTGGACCATTATCAAATCTTAGTTGCAACTTGTTAACTGTCCAGGAGGGACCAAAATATCCTCCAAATAGTGAGTTAATAATGAATAGCTGCAACCATAACATGGTATGAATATTAATATAGTGTAATACTTTAAGACTGTAGGTTTTCCCACCATATTTCTATATGACCTACAGTCTGTAATACAATTAAATAAATCATATATAAAATGACGCAAGTACAGTACTTTATTTACAAAATACAGTCGCTACAATATACAGTAACAGTTCACAAAAGAAATTAATACATACAGTAGCCATGCCAAAATTAATGGGTTGCAGTTCTTCATCGAGTCTTCGCCATATGGGCTCAATGTGAGCACAGGCTATGCACCAGTCTGAGTAGAAAAGTATCAGATACGGCTGCTTCTTGCTTAATGCGATAATTGAGTTCTGATAAGACCTGAAAGATTTTGCATTTTAAGAACATTTATCTTTAAAATATATCTGAAGCAGATTGTGCTGAGTATCCATTAATTTACTGTATATCTTAACTTCTTTTCTTGAAAAGAATTTAAATCAATACCTTAAGATCACAGGAATACATGTATATCAGTACTGTACATGCAAACTATTTCAACATATACTGTACATAAAGTTATAAAACCTAAACTATGCGCAATTCTGTGATTTTTCACTTGCCACTCTGTAGAACTATGCATCATCTACATTAAAACTCCACCTCAATGATGCACTTCTATAAAAATGTAAAATATTAGAGAGTGGAAGCTGAAAATTATGAATGACAGAAGGCATCTCTCTCCACCATTTTGTCAGGCTGCTACCATACTAATTATTCCCAGGTATTTTACGTGTTCCTTTCATTCTATTTGGTGACCCTCTTGAGTTCTGTATACAGTGTTCCTTTTGAGTTCCTCATTCTTTCCATACCTAAGCAGCTGGAGCTTATCACCATTGAACATCATGTTCTCCACTTCCCACTGGAAAACTTTGCTAATGTCTTCCTGTAATTTTCCAGTATCCTCTACCGTAGTGACTTTCATGTTTATTTAAGTGTCATCTGCAAATGATGACACAAAAGTGTGACGGGTGTTTTTATCTATGTCTGCTATGAGGATGAGAAACAGCAGAGGTGCCAGGACAGTGCCTTAGGGCACTGAGTTTTTTACCTTGGTGATGCTGGATCTTGCTCTGTCCACTACCACGTTTTGTGTTGTGTGTGTTAGGAACAACTCAAATACATATTGCAATAAGGAAAAATAACCCATATCAATTTAAAAAATTAAAGGCAACTAAAATTTTTTGGGTCCCTGCTGGAATGTTAACCCCTTCAGGGTCCAAGACCAAAATCTGAAGTGGTGCTCCAGTGTCCAAGAAATCTTGAAGAAAAAAAAAAAAAAAAAAAAAAAAAAAATTATTTTTTCTTACAGAATTAAAGAGCATATTTTTGTGAAGGTAATAAGACAAAAAAAAAATTCTGATCAGTACTTACCGAGATACAGTGCCAAGAAGTTTGTCAAAAATGGTGTGGTGGCGGCAACATCGACGAATTCCACGTACGCGCATTACATTATTTAGCGGTTTTTATAATTTTTTCTTTTCTTTTCCAATTTTTTTCTATTCCTACTAACATTTGGGGCCTGAGAGACCAATACTGTATATAATGTATATATATAAACTCACTGTATTGAACACAATAACCGCACTAAAATTATCATCATATTATTGTTTACCACTGTTGTTTATTACAATAAACATGCACAAATCTTGTATAATACTAATGTTCTATCATATATTTACATATTTACAATCACTGGACATGGTTTTAGAACTGCTGGAGCTGGAGCTTGTGGAACTCCTTGAAACAAGGCACCATGCACAGAGGCACCTTACATTCCTCACACATAAACCGAGTGTCTATGCATCTTTGTTGCCGTCGTTTTGTTTGTGCACAGACGATGCATCTCTTCTGAGCAAATTTCTTCTGAGTTGAAGGAAGCTGTATTATGAAATGATCACCTTCCCTCCTCAAACGCTTGGGTATATCCTGAGTAATTCGAGGACCTTGTTGTGTAGCAGGTGTTCTTACCTGGTACTTCATCATGAGTTGTCTGACAACAGACAAACAAAATTTACCATACGGTGGTCTGTTGCCAGTCTTTATTTGGTACATATTATATGCATTGAGCATTGAAATGTCCACGAGATGGAAGAAAAGTTTCATGTACCACTTGTAACTCTTACGAACACAGTCAACAAAACCAATCTGCATGTCACATTTGTCAACCAAGCACATGTTTTGTGTATAATCAATCACTGTCACTGGTTTTCGAATACGTTCATTAGTCACTCGATCAACTTTGCCACTGTCTTGCATTTCATTACGGTGAATGGTTGTCAACAATGTGACATCTCGTTTGTCATGCCACCGTAATGCCACGATGTCATTGGCAGTAAACACCTGCACGTCATCACCATGAGCACCTGCGTTCAGCCTGGGCATATGTTTACGATTAGAACGCACTGTGCCAACACACATCTGTCTTGTTCACATCGCATGAAATCACCGAGTAATGGGCTTGTGTACCAGTTATCGGTATATAATGTATGCCCCTTACCAAGATAAGGTGCCATCATGTTTCTCACTACGTCACCTGAGATACCCAATAACATCTTGGTATCTTTCAATGTTTTACTTCCCGTGTATACAACAATATCCAACACCCAGGCCACTGTCACAGTCACAGAGTACAAACAGTTTTAATACCAAAGCATTTCCTCTTGCTCGGTATATACTGCTTGAATGACAGTCTACCTTTGAACAAAATCAAAGACTCGTCAAATACAAGATTCTTGAATGGATAAAAGTATATGCTGAACTTTTGTTTGAGATACATGAAAACATTTCTAATCTTGTATAACCTGTCACTTCTGTCAGGCCTGGTTTTGTCAGAGAAGTGCAACATACGTAAGAGTAAGATAAACCTGTTCACTGGTATGATTTCACTGAAGACCGGGGTAGAAATTAGCCGATCTGTGGACCAGTATGCTTTTATATTATGTTTATAGACACGAGGCATAAGCATTATTGTTGCAAAAAGCAAATACATTTCTGCAACAGTCGTCTCTTTCCACCTGTGTAGTCTTGACTGTGGTGATATGATCGTATTTGCCATGGTGTACTCAAAATACTTATTACTTTCCCTCACAATAGTTTCCATCAATGGCTGGTCAAAGAATAATTCAAAGAATTCCATTTCATTGGCCATGGTTCCAAGGGGACAAGTAGGTAGAATTCCATTTTGAGAGTCATCAAAGTGGTGAGGCTTGGGAACAAAATTGGGATTTTGCTGCCAATCCCACATACGGTTTGCTGGTGGATACTGGACATCATAGGCTGGTTGTGCGGGTGGTTGTGGTTGTGGTGGGCTGGTGGCTGAAGCTCCGCTTTGTCCTTGAACTGACGAGTCAGCAGCGTGGGTCCCAGCCTGGGCTGGTGAGTCACGCATGGCGGTGCCACTACCATCACCACTAACACCATCCACTGATGCCTGTGGTCTATCCATGCCAAGTGTAGCCACATCATCCTCACTATCACTACCTAAAACTGGTGTAGGGCCACGGGATGTACTCTGGGATGTACTCCGTCCACTGGGCACAGCATAGGGTACACTACCCGAGCGCATGCAGTGGCGAACATACCGACGCTTCACTGGTGAATACGATTCCTCACTATCACTACTCGAATGATCATCGAGCGCAATAAAATCACAATCCACATCACTATCATCATCATTACTGAAGTCAGAGGCCTGGCCACGCGAAAATATTAATTTTCTCTTGTGTTGAGGCACAACCGACCGTGAGTCACGAGTGCCCACACCAGAGGTAGAAGGTTGAGGATCGTCAGGGTTTTCTGCACTATTATCGATATCCTGGTCATTCTTTTCGGTCACTAACTGATCAAAGCCGTAGAATTCGTCTTCATTTCCACTTCCATCAGTGTCAGAACTATCAGATAGGAAGAGGAGAGTCCCAATTTTCCGGGGAGTGAGAGCTGACTTGCGATGAGGCATGGTAAACAAGGGTAACCGAACCGGCGGGCGCCTAGATTTCTTGTTTATGGCGCACACCCACCACGCAGACCCGTTCTCTCACATGTAGGCCTATGAGCGCTTTCGCGCTAAATTTGACGGCACTAGAATTTTGGCGTAGATCTACGGTTTGGACACTCAACGTGAAGCCGTAGATCTATGGGACGGACCCTGAAAGGGTTAAGGCCTAAGGAAACTTTCTCTGCATGATGTTAACTTACTTGTATGTTATCGACTGCTTCTTATATATATTTGTTCCATCACCATGCTTGAAATTAAAACGAAAACTCCCCCCAAATGTGCTGAAAATATCATCAAAAGGATCAAATCGCCGATACGAGGAATAATCGTGCTGTTTGCGGAAATTAGGCTGTTCTTCTGTTTGGCCGGTAGTATCGTACAACCGACGTCTTTCAGGGTCCATCAACAGCTGAAAAAGAGAAAGAAAATTAAATATCTGCTTAAATATTGCTCATAAATCATTTAGGAAATTACAAAATACTCTCATAATCTTCCATACTACTAACTATAGTACATGTGCATACATGTACATGATTTACAAATACTCATTTTAAGTAAAACTGAAACCGACAATGAAGATAAAGCAGTTCATTCAATTATGTTTATCTAGTAGAAAAATAAAAGCAAATTAGCTAGTGTGCTATGTATACAGATATTTGCATTTTCGAACTGTAATATCGGTGCCACTCTGGCAAGACAGTGATGAAGTGAGTGATGGTGAAAGCATTTCTACTTTTTTGGGTCACACTGCCTCGGGATCACTTAATACTTCCTCTTACTTCATATCAATGGTGTGTCACTCGGTTTATAAAGAAAAACATTCAATTACTCCTTCAGCTCTGGGGTTGTTCTGCCCTCATAGCCCAACTTGAAGCTAGACTTTAGTAACTGCTATATCAACCAGGCTGTTGCTATCAACAACCTGTAGGCTTTACACAGGCAACAGTATAATGCAATCCTTTATTGAAAATGTTTCACTTAACTGATTTAAATTCAAATTTTTATTTATTTTATGCTGTACAAAAATAATGTAGTTTACATGTAATAATCATGGCAGCAAAAAGGGAAATAAGAGCATAATGGTACTAATGGTCCTACATAGGTGTGAAGCATTGGTTGTGAATGTTGCAACAAGAAGAAGGCTGGAGGCAGTGGAGATGTCATGTCTGAGAGCAATGTGTGGTGTGAATATAATGCAGAGAATTTGTAGTTTGGAGATAAGGAACAGGTGCAGGGTTACTAAAAGTATTATCTAGAGGACTGAAGAGGGGGTTGTTGAGATGGTTCAAACATGTAGAGAGGAAGGAACAAAATAAAATGACTTGGAGAGTGTATAGATCTGTAGTGGAGGGAAGGTGGGGTAGGGGTCGGCCTAGGAAAGGTTGGAAGGAGTAAAGGAGGTTTTGTGGGTGAGCGGCTTGGACTTGCAGCAAGCATGCATGAGCATATATATAGGAGCGAATGGAGACAAAATGCTTCTGGAACTTCACGTGGTATTGGAATACAAGCAAGGTAACATTTATGAAGGGATTCAGGAAAAGTGGCTGGCCGGACCCAAGTTCTGTAGGTGGGAAGTACAGTGCCTGCACTCTGAAGGATGAGTGTTGATGAGTTGCAGTTTTATAACTGTAGTGTAGGCATGCCTCTGGCAAGATAGTGATGGAGTGAATGATGAAAGTGTTTCTTCTTTTTCAAGTCACCCTGCCTTGGTGGGAAACGGCCGTTAATAAAAATATGTAATAAAAGATTGTTAGGCACAAAAGGGAGCCACTAGTATGCAACACATTTTGACTGAACTTATCCTAATGCTTAATAACTACTTATTAACCCTTTGAGGGTTTCGGACGTACTAGTACGGCTTACGACCCAGGGTTTTTGACGTACTAGTACACACAAATTCTAGCGCCCTCAAATCTAGTGGGAGAAAGCTGGTAGGCCTTCATATGAAAGAATGGGTCTATGTGGTCAGTGTGCACAGTCTAAAAAAAATCCTGCAGCACACAGTGCATAATGAGAAAAAAAAAAAACTTTTACCATTTTTTTGGAATAAAACAGCGACTTTGCACTGTATTTTCGTATGGTATTTATTGTTGTATTCTAGTTTTCTTGGTCTCACTTTATAGAATGGAAGACATATTACAGAAATTGAGATGATTTTGACTGGTTTTACAATGAAAGGTACCTTGAAATTGAGCTCAAAGTAGCAGAAATGTTCTATTTTTACCAAATTTCAAAAGTACATAAACAAATAGTGCCAAGCGTGCAATACACATCAACTGGTGAGTCTAATATTCTTTCTCAAGTGCACCAATAATATTTATACCATTTTTTACACTAATGCAGTAGTCTGCATAACAGTAAATCTTATATTTTTTGTGAGAATAAAAATTCAAAGTGGAAAGCAAAATAATATAAGAGGGGCCTTGAGACGTGACTAATGACCAGAGGAAATGTCATTTTAGTGCCAGGAATGTCTTTCTTGTTTATTCTGGACCCTATTCGGAAACTGGCATCTTTTGAAATTTGTGTGAAATTGGCAAAATTGCTAAATTCTGACCACTGTACTGGATAGTTGAATTTCATAAATGGGTGGTTTCTTGCACCCATTCGATAGAAAAAAATGGAGTTCTAGCGAAATATTCATGTTTTTTGTCGACTAGTACAGTGGAATTGGCCGAAAAATGGGGCTCAAAGTGGGCAAAATCGCCGATGCGTAAACATCGCCGAGACCGCTAACTTTGCGAGAGCATAATTCCGTAAGTTTTCCATCAAATTTCAAACTTTTGGTGTCCTTATGATCGGGAAAAGATTCTCTATCTTTTCATAAGAGAAAATAATTTTTTTTTTTTTTAAATTTGGCCGACCCTGAGAACGCGTTTCGGAGAGGGCCTGTCGACCCTCAAAGGGTTAATTAGACAGACATTTTCAAGTCACTACATGGGCAAAACTTTGCCAATAAAAAATTGTTAAGTACTGCAGGTGTGGGTTTCCATCTTGTTACGTATTTTATACCATTTTTCTCCACGCCATTATTTCGCCGAAAAGGCTCTTGTTGAAATTAGTACTGTAATCCAGTTTCTTGGAACTATTTTAGTCAACAGAGATATAAGGACTACTTATGTGCTTCTGTAAACCTTTGACTATCACCTGCAGGATGGTGTCAGGTGCATAAAAATACCATCATCAAATAAATGCACAAAACATGCTTACCTCATAGGCTTGGTTGATTTCAATAAATTTTGGTTCAGCTTCTGGTGATGGATTCTTGTCTGGATGCCTGTAACAATTTTTATGTATTATTATACATGTATACAGTATATACACAAAAAATATTATTACTGTATATTATCATTATTTCTAATAGATGCCATTTCTCACACCCCTTCTGTTACACAGCAATAAGGACTGGCATGGATACATGAGTATGTCACGGCAAGTCATAGTATAAAATAATTTAAAAACGAGAGCTACACGTGTCAAGGCAAGTCATAGTACAGTGGACCCTCGACTAACGCTATTAATCCGTTCCCGAGAGCTCATCGTTAGTCAAAATTATCGTTTGTCAAGTTAATTTTCCCCATAAGAAATAATGGAAATCAAATTAATCCGTGCAGGACACCCCAAAGTATGAAAAAAAATTGTTTTTACCACATGAAATATTAATTTTAATACACACAAACTGAAGAAGACATGCACAGTTACATGACACTTACCTTTATTAAAGATCTGGTGATGATTGATGGGATGGGAGGAGGGGAGTGTTGATGGTCTTAGTGTTTAGAAGGGGAATCCCCTTCCATTAGTACTCGTTATAATATGAAATGTTCCGATTATAAGTTTGGATGGGACCGTGGTGGCTGGCTGGCTTGTAAACACTGGCACCCACGGGACAAGTGAGGCGCGCTCAGGCCAAAGTGGACGCGTCTCGAACGGAACAAATAGCGTTGGTCGGGTTTTTTAGCGCTAGTTGAGGCAAAATTTTTGCATTAAAACGTATCGCTAGTCGGATTTAACGTTAGACGATGCCAACGTTGGTCGAGGGTCCACTGTATAAAATAATTTAAGAAGAGAGCTACACGAATGAAGCAGCAAAAAGGAAGATAGGGATTTCTTCTATTCACAAAATACAGTCATACCCTACCCTACATCAATAATTGGTTCCAAGAGCTATGACATAACCTGGTTTTTGACGTAAATTGAACATAATGCCTTAAAATTATGACAAACACCGTAAAACTAGAGTAAATGGCTCACTAAAGAATACAGTTATCACTAAACTATTTTTGATATTGTTTTAATGTCACCCTTGCACCATTTGTAACATTTTTAGTATATTTTTAAATGTTTATACAGTAGTGTACTGTATATTGTAATGAACAGAAGAGGAAATCAGCTCTAATAAACATTATTTAGGGATGCATACTTGTCAGAAAGCTTGTCATAAGTCCGAGTCGTGGGGTAAAAAAATTATGTCCTAAGTGGGGGGAGGGCTTTTTTAAGGGCCATTTTCCCAACTTTTTTTCCCTCTATTCTGTTTATTCCAATATACAGTACACTACTGTATAAACTTTTAAAAAAAATATCCCAAAATTTTATAAATGGTGAAAGGGGTTAAATGAAAATTTTTTTTAAAAGAGGGGGGAGAAAACCCCCACTGCCACTTTTAGGATACTCCTTGCTTACACAAATTCGTTTCCCACGTGGTCTTGGGAAGGGAAAAATTTCCATTATTAAGTGAGGAGAGGGTATGTAACTATTTTAACATAAAAGCCCCCAATGACAATAATTCACAGTGTTTGATTTTATGTTTTTTCCCTTTTTAAAAATTCTACAAAATTTTAAACTATTTTAAACAACTGAAAAGGGTGTCAAATTTTTGAATAAAACCCCTAAATAAAAACCCATAACATTTGGGTTAAAGTGTTCCCAGTTCCCGAGGGTGGGGAAAATTTGTCTGGAGTGAAAAACAAAAAGTTTAAATATTGAGGGAAAGTAGGGAAACCCAAAATGGGGAATAAAATAAGTAAATTTATTTCTAAAAAAGAAGAGTACAGTTTTTTAATAAAATTGGGGGGGACTTTTCATATACAGTATAAAAAAAATTTTTCCAAACCCCCCTTTTTTATGCATACCCATTTCAGAAAAACCTTAAAATCCATTAGGAATACAAAAATCTAAGAAATCCATGGGTTTTTAAAATGGTACAGTACTTTCTAATACAAAAAAATTTATACATATAAAACTGATATATAAAGGATGGGGGCCTTGGGGTCACAAGCTGAAGGACTCTTTGAAAAGGACAGAGACAATACAGGTTGAAAAAAATGTCAATTTTTATTAAGGTTGTTTAGGATCAATTGGGGCGGGGTTTCCCAAAAACCCTGGGGTGCAGCTTTCCCCCGGAGTGCGAGATGGCTTTTTGGGGGGTGCCACAAAGTTCTAATAAAAAGAAACAATTTTTTTTTAAAAAAAAATTTTCTAACTGCTAAAATTTATATTTGCATTTTGTACAAATTTTTACATTATTTTTTAAAGGGGGGTTTTAAAACATTCAAAATTAAAAAAAAATTTTATAAGATAAGAGGAGAAGGCAGGCAGATGCCTTTTCTGGTTTTCTAACACAAAAAAAAACGGGAATTTAAAATCTAGGGATCCCGCAAGGGAAAAAACTCATCATTTTCAGATTTAAAACAAAAATAAGCATGTAAGCCAAACCCCAGAAGACACAAAAACTGCAGGAAAACAAAAATCAGTGTTTTCCCCGGAGGAGTGGGGGGAACAAAAAGACCTTTAATGGTGAGAATTTCCATGTTAGGGATGGTAAGGGAAATTCCCAAACTAAAAACAAAAAATAAAGAGGGTCATCAAATAAAAAGAAAGGAAAAAAAATGAAAGGGTTGGGGAAAATTATGTATTGACCTTTTTTTTCAAAGAACACAAAAGGGCCAAAACCTGACACCCAGGAGGATGGAAAAGGGGGGTTTTACAATGAGATTTTTTCAGAACAAGGGGGAAAAAGTACCAAAGGGGTGCTTTTTTTAAAACAATTGCTGACCGGAGAATGGGTTTAGAGGAAAACCTTTCCCCGCACCCACATAATGTACGAATAAAAAAACTAAATTACTTTAGAATTTTGGGTTTAAATTTTCCCGGGCTTGTATTCCTGGAATGGGAGGGAGAAAGGTCATGTTAAAAATCATTTGGGAAAAACCTTGAGGGGGTTAGTAATTAAAATTTTCACACGAAAAACAAATCCCTGCAAAAGGGGGGAAAAAAACTCGGCAAGCTGGGTGCAACATCCCCCCCTGGGAAAAACAGGGGGGAACCCCCAAGTATCTAAGAGAACAAAATAAGTGTCAGGGATCCAAGACTTCAAAATGTTTTCCCAGCATACATAATGGGGAATTTCCCCAAAAAAACCCCTGGCGTCTTCAAAAAAGGCCTGGGCTGGGACCTTTAAATCAGTAAAAAAAAACCACCCCCCTGTGGTTTTGTATGTCAGTTTTCATGCGGGCCCGCAAATAGCCCTTTTGTTCCCCCCGGAGGGGCCCCGGGCACAGGGCCGGGCCCCTGGGGGGATGACCCCCAAAAAACCCTCTCCAGTTATACTCTGGGTATTGCAAGTGTTGTATGGAAACAAGGGCCCTAATGGAAATATGCACCCTAATAGAAATAAAAACCCTAATGGAAATAAGAGGCCTAATGGTAATAGGGACAATGGAAATAAGGACCATAGTAGAAATAGGTACCATAATGGAAATAAGGACCATTGTGGAAATAGGGAAAATAATGGAAATAAGGGCCCTAATGGCAATAAAAACCCTAGTGGAAATATTGAAAATGGAAATAAGGACTAGTGGAAACAGGTCAAATAATGGAAAAGAAGGACCTCAATGGAAATAATGATTATAATTCAATCAGCTGGACTTCATGTATGGATTATGGTACATAATACAGACACACGTATATGAAATATGATCATATAAGCCACATATCACTGTAGATCAGTTAGACATACCAGCCATCCAAGATACACTGATCAGTCTGTCGGAAATTCTCTGGCATATTAGTGCCTTACTTTCCACTTAATATTAATAAACTCGAAATCACACAACATAACCTGTGCCATGAAATCAAAAAATTGTTTTCGTATCCATGACTTACCATTCTTTGGCCAACTTCTTATAGGCCTTCTTGATGTCCTGGGCATCGGCCTTCCTCTTAATGCCCAGAATATCATATGGGTCCCTAATTTTGGCCAGAGTGGAGGCCAAAAAGGCCACAAATATGAGGAGGTAGAGGGTGGAGCGCATGATGGCTGGACTGCGGACTCCTGGACGCTACACTGCGCCACTTTTTAGTACTTATTAAGAGATAAAATAGATATTGCTGTCTTAATGATGTTTTTTTGACTTGTGTTTTGTGTATGGGTGTGTTGGGGAGGTGTAGCTTAAGTTGACTGCTGGTCTGGGAGGGTAGTGGGGGTGGAAATGTGGATTATTGTAGTGCTGGTGGCGATGATGACAGTGTGTGAACCAGCTGATCGATGCTGAGTCTGAGAGAATGAGAGAATGAGTGAGAATGAGAGAATGAGTGAGAGAATGAGAGAGAATGAGTGAGAGAATGACAGAATGAGTATGTGAGAAAACGAATGAATGAGTGTGAGAAAATAATGGAATGAGTGTGAGAGAATGTGTGAATGAGAAAATGAGTGAAACATTTTCACTCATTCTCTCACAATCATTGTGTAAGAATGAGTGAGAGAATGACAGTGAGAGAATGAATGTGAGAGAATGAGTGTGAGAAGACTGAATGAGAAAGAATGAGTGTGAGAGAATGAGACAGAGTGAGAATGACAGCGTGAGAGAATGAGACAGAGTGAGAATGACAGCGTGAGAGAATGAGACTGAATGTGCAAGAGTGAGACTGTGAATGAGTGTGAAAGAATGAGAATGAGTGAATGAGTGCGCGTGAGAGAATAAGATAGTTGTGGAAAATTACATTTACTTGGATGTATCATTATGTACATAACAGTAAATGAACACAGATAATTATTATTTATCAGTTCCACAAGTAGAAATTTGGGACACCTAGGTCGCAAAAAATGTCCCCCTTCAATACCACTGTCATATCCACAAGTTGCTCTGGACCTATTAATTAAATGAAATATACATACACCAGGAATGCTGGTAAATATATTAATTTGTGGACTGTATATTAAAATTTAAAAAGGATTATAGTATATACACACATTTACATAACAGAAGGAAAATATCTTAATATCACTCACCAATTTAACTGGAGATTAACTTGTATCATACTCAGAAAACCTCACTGTCTATACATGAAAATAACAACTGGCCAGTTATAACATAACAGACTTATCTGAGGTTCCTGGAGTTGTCTTGTCCAGTCGCCTGATATCTCAAGTTATACAAGAATGCACATCCAACAATTTCGCCTCCTATTTGAGAGGTGTCTGCCCAATTTTAACCTCTAGAGCACGAAAATTCATTCCCATTACACTAACTTTGCATCCAATTCAAATTAACAATGGCGACTAACCTCCCCAGCCGCAGGTTTCCCATTTTCGATAACATACTTCTTTTAAAAATACAATATAGGGCATCTGTTTACCTATAAATTACCGTATTTCCGGAAAATATATACAGTATTTTCCACAATAGTAGAGAGATGAATAAGATAGTAAAGGTGATGAATCACCACAACCACATTCTACAGAAGCATGTCAGCTAGGCCTGTATACCATGTACTTGTAGTAAATAAAGATATTATTAATAATAATATAATAAGTATCTGTAGACATGGACAGTGAAGTCCCACCATGTGACTCAGACCCAGCCATGTGGTTTCGTGTCAGTGAACACCATGTGTCCTTTTGGTCAACTGCTACCATACAGATAGATACCTAAAGTGTGACACCAAAGATAGAAATACACATCGGTAATTATTATGTAGTGTAGATGGAATATATTACAAACTGAAAATTATAGTCAGTTAAAGTCAATAAAATTGAGAAAAATAAAATCAGATATCTTCGAAACCTAACACGTTTTCCGAAAACATGTTTATCATTCATTTTAGTTCATTTCTTATTTTAATTAAATTTAATTTCCATGTTTAGGGCTCTCCAAACCTAAAGTGCCCCCCCCCAGGTCTAAATCCGGCCCTGATCAAAACTAAGCATTAAACCCACAAGAGATGTCAAATACGTAAGCAAAACAACAAGGAGACTGTTTTCAACACGAGTCGATGGACATTGTTCATTAGAATTACGATTTTAGATTAGATTTTGCCACCGAAGTGGCTAGTTTATTGTGCACCCCATATCCATCCTGTGGACGGTAGCGCGAGAGCATATGAATACACAAAAGGCCTAGGAACTAGGCCCCAAAGGGTTAACAGGAATACATACGGATTTATATCTACATATCTATAGTTCACTTATCTGTTACAAGCAAATTTAGGAAATTTGCTTAGTATATCTGGTATCTTATTTTCATTAATAAGATATCTTGACATGTCACATAAGTTATTATACTGTCTGTCTCTGTATTTCTCAGTAAGTGGACAATTAAGCACATAGTGTTCAAGACCATATGCCTGATCACATAATTTACATTTAGTTTGATCATCATCTGTCTCTCTCCCAAACTGCCAGAAGTAGTACTTGTAACCAAGCCTAAGCCTGGCCACTACAACATCAGTCAGTCTGTTCACATTGCAAGTTGCTCAATAAACATACTTATCTACGTTCATGTTATCATCGTGGGTTATAGATCTACTCAGGCTTCTAACTGCATTCCTATAACAATCATTTTCATTATTTACTTCTCTCCTAATATTATTCCTAATGCTAGACACAGTTATACCAAAGTTATATTCTACATTCTCCTTCTGGATACTCTTCTTGGCTAACATATCAACTTTATCATGAAGGAGTAATCCAATGTGTGATGGGATCCATAGCAATTGTACATTAATTCCTTTGTCCCTAATTTTTGAGTATCTATACCAGGCTTGTCCAATGAGCATGTTGTTGGAGTCTTTATATGATTCAAGAGCCTTCAATGATGACAGAATCAATAATGATGATAGAGTCAAGCTCAGTGTCATAGGTTAGCTTTAGCGCCATTAGGATTGCAAACAATTCAGTTTGCAGTATAGACGCCCAGTTGTTAATTCTTGTGCCTAACTCAACAAATTTATTATCTTTCTTAACAAGGGAGGTGGCAACAAGAGCAGATGCAGACCTGCCAGAAGACTCCTGTTTAGATCCATCAGTGTATATAACTTGTGATAACTTATTACTACCAGCTAGGTGAGAAATTTATTCTTGAGCAGTTGCTCTAACAAGAGATTTAAGGAATGGATTACTAGCAATGAGCTTCTTGGGAGGGACTTGCAGGTATGTGATATTAAATGAACACATCTTCCACGGAGAGGTGAAATGCTCTTGTTGCCTACAGTGATACAGTTCATGCAGGTTATAAAACTTAATGTAATTGCACGTTTTCACAATCCATTTAGATCTGTGTGTATTTACCTCTAGACACTTGGTAAGATTCATTGTGACAGTGTCTGGTTCGTTTCTCAACATTCTAATACCGAGTACAGTGTTAATCTCAATAATCCTATCACTGATAGTAGAAATACCAAGCTCCTTCCTCATGTTAAGAACTTTTGTAGATCTGGGACAGCCAAGAATAATCCTGAGAGCTTCATTTTGCATTAACTTCAAGGGTCGGAGAGAACTTTCTCTAGCTAATATCAACATGGGAGCAGCATAATCAATTAAGGACCCGCTCATCCCATTTGGGATCTTACCTGAACTTTCGTTCGTTCGTTACTTCTGGTTAGTGTGGCTTTGTCAATGGTCCAAGTCGGACCGAAACGTCGTCGTAAGCTTCTCTCTTTTACGTGCGGGTTATTTGTGTATTTACATTGGTTTTTATTGTTATTTAAAGTGGAGGGTCTTTGTTTCCTATTCATGCCCACTTGATCTGTGAGAACACTCTCAATAGTGGTAATTAAATCATCATTAAATTTTTGTGTGCCAGTGGGCTCGTAATTCTTATACCATTGATCCAAGTGGTTAATAAAGTTGTCTCTGTGTTCTGGTTTGAGAATAAGTTTCCTCCTTCTGTATTTAGCTCCTTGATTGCTGGAGATGTGATCAAGATTGACAGTTGTTAGTCTTGGGAAGTGATCAGATAGAAGATCATCAACTATGACAGAGTCATGCATCGTATATGATGTATTAAATCCAAGACACCGATCTAGTATGCCACCATATATGTGAATAGGCTCAGTAGTGCCCACAATTCGAACATTATCATGCTCATTTAGCAATTTCACTAGTTTAGTTCCATTGGTGTTTGTTATAGACCCACCAATATTCTTATGTCTGGCATTAAAATTTCCAAGAATGATGGTAGGTTCACTATTGATGCGATCTGGTAAAGCATCAGGTCGAAGCTGGTTCGCTGGGGCATAGAGATTAAAAATGTTTATGGAAAAATCGACTCTGCAAGGAAAGGAGTGAATGTGGCAAGTTCTTTCTGACATACATCACACAACAATTGGTTGACCTTAGGTTATAAGCTGCATATCCAGGCAAGTTTGGTGGAGGTGCTCCATCTTTCAATCTACATTCCTGCAAACAGATGACATCAATATTCTTGGTTGCACTAATATGATGTAAGTCAGGCAACCGCTTCCTGATGGAAGCAATGTTCCATGAAAAGATTTGTAATGTATCCATTGTAGTGAGATACTATAATCTCTTGCTCATAAGATGGTAAAACTATTATGCTTTGACTACAGTGTGCAGGCACTTAAGAGCAAGTAGCATAGTTTGTACGTCTTTATCTTCAGGACCTTTATTTTTAAGCATTTTTCGGCATCTTGACAGCCAGTTAAAAGGCAAGTTTTGAAGGCAAGAGTCATGAGCTTCTTTCTTACAAATTGCTGGAAACTGAACGAGGATTGCTGCACTTTTGACATCATCACCATGCTCAAGAGCATCATCCTGATTACACCAGGGCGTTTCAAATATCAAGGTTGAAGCCACGTTAACACACAGTAACAAGACTGTGTTAGTACCTTAATAATTACCAAGTGACAACCATCCACCCTACCCATCACCCTCTCACCAGTAACAACTACTCACCCCAAACCCCTCCACCAGCAGCCAACCCCCGACCCTTCCCTTAACGACCTTCCCCCTCCCCACAAACAACCACTGACGTCATTAACACCCCGTCCTCCAGGTCAATGGCGCCATTTAGCCATGGAGGTCAAGAACAGTGGCGCCACTAGTCATTCCACTGCCATCCACCACACCAACACCTGCAGATCTTCCAGTTCCATCAACCTGTGGTAACTTAAAAACCTTTGATTACTCCAATTTCATGGTAATTTTTGATAGATCAGCTTTGAAAATATTTTAGCAATTTTTCTTTCTACAAAATTTTGAAGGAAGCATTCTAAATACATAGTAATACTTCAAACTATTGCTTACTGTAGTTCATTAATATTTGCAGACATTGTTTTGGGGTGTTGCTGCTGGTGATAACATCTCTGAAGACTTGCAGCTGCCCACAAGGCAGACTTCACCATACAGCAGCTACCCACAAGGCAGACTTCGCCACACAGCAGCTACCCACAAGGCAGACTTCGCCACACAGCAGCTACCCACAAGGCAGACTTCGCCACACAGCAGCTACCCACAAGGCAGACTTCGCCACACAGCAGCTACCCACAAGGCAGACTTCGCCACACAGCAGCTACCCACAAGGCAGACTTCGCACACAGCACTACCCAGCAGACTTCGCCAAAGCAGTACACAGGCAG